CAGGCAGACAGGCAGACAGGCAGACAGGCAGACAGGCAGACAGGCAGACAGGCAGACAGGCAGACAGGCAGACAGGCAGACAGGCAGACAGGCAGACAGGCAGACAGGCAGACAGGCAGACAGGCAGACAGGCAGACAGGCAGACAGGCAGACAGGCAGACAGGCAGACAGGCAGACAGGCAGACAGGCAGACAGGCAGACAGGCAGACAGGCAGACAGGCAGACAGGCAGACAGGCAGACAGGCAGACAGACGAACATAAAGTGTGCGAGACGTACGGGCATGGCGGGCTGCAGATGCATGCTTCGGGTCATTAAGCATAAGCATTTGCTGATACTACGTGGCATTATCCCGGTTAGCACCAGAATGTTCTTCTTGGGGGTTATCACAGCAAAACAAGCAAGGGCTTGTAATGAGGGCTTGTAATGAGGTCACGCCACGGCCGTTATTAAAGACGCCGTATTAGTGTAGCATGATAACCAATCTGGCAGAAACTTATATCGGCCACGCACACAGCCTGAATTGGCTCCTTACCACTGCTGGCCAATTCCCCCCTTGCACACATCGCTCATGGTGATGGGGTTCTGAATCGCCACGCACACCAAGCCTCCGTTGGCTTGCTCGCCGGTCCAGTTGAGTGACACTGCGGGGATCACAGCAGGCGGGGAATTCCTTATTAGGTCATTAGGGGGTGAGAGGTGCTAAACCTCTTGGCCGCTTAACAAGCAAGGGCAGCAATGTAAGAGCCTGGCTAAGGACTTAAGATATAGGTAGGCTCTCACAAGCAACATGGAGCAGGCGGGGGATCACGAGGTCCAAGACGGCAGTAGAGGGTCGGGGTCAGAAGCATTTGGATTTCGGTACTGTAATACAAGTTACAAGTTACAAGTTCCGCACGCAAGTGCGGGTGGGGTGTGTCCATAAAAGCCGAGGGGGCCATGGACGTTATTATATTACTATTGATGCGGGTACGCAGGAGGCCATCATCATCCTCCCTCGTTCGCTTCAGGGCGAAGCGCCTCAGCGCGACGTGCCTGGCCTCCCAGATTTCCGAGAGGTACATGTACTAGCTAGCCGCTGAAATTTTTGTTGATGATATGATGTGTGAAACAGGGGGGTATATCTTCGCCCGTGGCAGCTACCCTGCGAAACCGTACCTTCCCCGGTATTTCGGGGCACCCTCATCCAGTTGCCCTAGTCAACTTCTCAGTGGACCGCTCAGGTTCCGCACCCAACACCAGCATCCAACGGAATCTGCCGGGTCGACAGCGGCCCAACTCCATTCCTGGTCAACACGCAGGTTAACTTTATCACAGGTCACCGCCGTCCATCAACTAGGGGCGCAATACCTTCCACCATCGGCAGGTATTTCGTCCCAATAGGGTATCGATCCCGGAATCTCCCGGGGGCAATGGTCGCGCGTTACCAGTAGTGCCAATGATATGTGTGCCATACTATCTGCAGCGACTACAGGTAGCAGCCCACCTTTCAGTGTGTCGACTCCTAGTGCGCCCCAGCTGTCTGAGATGAATGTCCTGCTCGTCGTCGAATTCGTGGCGGGGTAAACTGAGAAGCCCTTCACCGCCGGCCTGTACATGTCATCTGTAGGGCAGGGATCACACGCAAAGCACACATCAGCGATTAAATACCAAGGTTTTGAATGGATAAAGTCGTTTTCGCCCGTAAACCTGCTGTTTGCACGTCCGATGGATGTTTAGATTACCAAGCTAACAACCAACCCCAAGACAGACAGTATGCCACAATAGGCCTATTCGCTTTCAGGGAAACTCCTGACCCGAATAACCCCCTAACCCAGAACTTACGAGCATAAAACTCGATCTTGGCAAGGGCGTCGTTCGGATCATAGCAGGAGCTCTGCGTGAGGGTAGTGAACGGGACAGCGTCCTGACTGACGTACATACCAAAGCTGTGAGCAAAGAAAACGACTGAAGGAGCTGAGTCCATCAGCAACAACCCAGCATGTGATGAGCGGCCGTTGCGTTGAGCGGCAGCTGCTGTGACGAGCATCACCACAACAAGACCTTGCCTTAACTAGCCGCTGTACGACATGCACGCTAGAAACGCACCAAGACACAACCATTCCCACTTACCGGCACGACCTGACTTGGCGGTAGCGTGTTGACGGTGAAGCAGTACTCAGTGACGTTGCGGCCCCAGTGGGCATTGGCCGGCTGTGCATACCAGGTGGGGGAGACTACGAACGGCATGACTCCCTGAGTTGTGTTGCACCTGCGCGTCAGAAGGCGCGCGGAGGCGGCAGCAGGGTCGGTAACTAGTACTTTCACACATTCACCCAACGTTCCTGATTTTTGCACATAGCCATGTGAGCAAGGTATCCATACAAGCACGGTGTCTTTGCCTTCAGCCATTCATCCAAAGCTCTGCATACACGACAAAGACGCTAGCCAGATCCCAAACATGGGTTCATCCATTGCGGGAGGAAGCTTTGGTTATTAGGCCCTACATCCTCGCCCCCAAATCTTTACGGATGGCGGCCGCACCGCAAAAGAGACGACGCCATGAAGTAGGGTGACTTACGTGCAGTTGGGGAATGGAACGCCAGGCAGGAAGCAACTAGTCGACTGCGAGAGGGAAAGGCACTGATCTGCCACATTGTTGATGGTGGAGACCGTCACCGTGTATTTCTCCAACTTTGGATTGCAGACGTTGCCGCCAGACGCAATTTCGATGAAGTTGGAAAGCTGCTGCTGCACCGCTTCCGTCAGAAGGGCCAACGCATCACTGTCCGAACCGTTGAACCTGCCACATGTAATGATTTGTGTGTCAAAGCACTGGCTTGCATTTGGCGCGAAAGGTGAGAAGGCGCCGACGTTGGCGGCTCCCAGGAGAGAGTTCATGATGTTGGCGATGTTCTGCTGAATGGCGGCGCAGGTGGCGCTGTCGTAGCGGTATGGTCGCACATCAATGGCCGGGGGCACAATGGTCGCGGCGATGCAGACGTCACAAGGCCGGAAGACCGGCGGAATAACTGGTGGCGGCGGCGGGAGGGCCTGACCAGCTTGAGAAACCGGGCAGCAATCACACGCGACATCGAACATAGCTGCTGTGCATGTCCCTGCGGGGAAGCCTGGCGACGAGCACAGTTGCTCCAGGGTGGTGCAGCCCTGGCCTCCGCGGTTGGTCTTGAGGGTGAGGCACACCTCCGCATCCTGGGCGGTCGTGGTGTCCAGCCCCAGCTGGGTGAGCCGCAGAACGGCGGAGCCAACAGGCCCAGCCGGGGCCTTGTCCAGGGCCGCACCAACCCGGGTCCGCACTCCATTCACGGTGGCGACAACTGAAGCCCCGGCCACCAGGCAGCTGCTGGACACGTTAAACTGCGGACGTTGCGGGATTGCATGTGGTGGGAGGATGGAGTGATGGCAAGGTGAGGCAGGAGGGAACATCACAATTTGATGTTCCCTCTACTTTTGAGGGTGCGAAGTTCCCATTCTGTCCAACACACGTAAATGAGCTATATAAATCTTGCGAGGCGCGTTCCAAAGCCTGATTAGACATCCACTCCCCTGAGCAGCTAGGATGGTAACGGAGCCCCCAACACCGATATCTTGAGCGCCTTCCCGTGCTTTCCGAGGCCCTAGGACCTGTAGCAATGTGTTATCATGTCGCATCCCCCACACCATCAGCCGGCCGTGCGCGCACCTCAATTTTGTGCAAGTCGGCGCTGCAGCAGGCGCCAGTGCAGGACAGGGCATCCTGGCTGACCTGGATCTTAAAGCAGTACGTGTTGCTGCCCGAAGGCCGCCACACCGGTGCCAGCCGGTACGCGCCGTTGGTGGTGTTGCAGTTGCGGAACGGGAAGTTGGGGATGCTGCCAGGCGTGACAGCTGAGGGATCGTACTCGTTGTATTCCTGCGCTTTGACGACCCTGAAGGCGATTCGGGATTTAACCACCACGCTCAACCGCTTGACGTGTATCGTAACTAGCGTTTACATGGTACATGCTTGCATTTTCTGGCAACCGTATATGCTTGCCGAAACTTAGGAGTTCGGATGCCTTATATCGCTTATAAAGGCACCGGCAAACTATGTTAACCCAGTTGTAGACCCATCACGTTCCATATCGTTATTCATATAGGTACTATTCGGGCAAGATGCTATCAAGCTTACCAGCCAACCGCCAGCACTACTGTCGCGAGAAATAATAAAGTTTTTGCCATATCGGTGTCGAAGACTCCCAATATTAGTGTAATGAAAAGAAGACCAAAACTCTGCTGGAATTTTCGAATCGTAAATGAGAAGGAAATCGCAACAACGAGACAATGATGAATTGCGCCCACATGGTTACCTTTATGTACCCATCGTATGCGTGGCTGGGCCCTACGGCTTACCTCATTAGGCGGGCGCTGAGAAGCGGCGGTACGTTACAGGTTCTCTTCTGTTTCCGAACGCGAGTTCACGCAACGGCTCGATTCTCTCCGAAAGTCTTCGAGAATGCCCTTAATTTTCTTCAGTATAGTCGGCATAAGCAAGACTTGATTCATACATTCTGAAATTGTTATTGTCATGATAATTGCCCGGCGCCCGATCCAACATCTGACGGCTGGCACGCATGAGACCGCATCATATCCCACTTGGCATTACAAATAATAACTAATTTAAGATGTACTTAAGAATAGCAATATAAATGCACTTTTGTCCCATGGAATCCTTCCATATTCGCGTGGATGAGCGGCTCGCGCTTTGCTGCACCTAGGGAAGCGACAGTGGGGCGACAACGGTGTTGGCAAAGCAACACGTCGAGGCTAATGGTAAACGGCGATTCCTACAGCAGAACGGCAACAGGAGTTGTCCATGTTGGCGAATCAAGCTAACTATTGGTCTTGGGGGCAGTGCGCGGACATCGAGCACAAGACCGATTTATTACTAATACGAGACTTACGAACTATGTGAACGGAAAGAATGCACTTTAAAGGCATCATAATGCACAAATCGTTTGTGTTGGGGCAGGTATCCGAATGCGCTTCACATTCGTCCTTTCGAACCCGCCTTACGGGCTGCGGCACAAAGGCCGCCAAAGTTAGACTAGCCAAACGGCTCTAACAACGCAAACGAAAAGTAGTGGCAGAATATCAAAGGAATACCATCTCAAAGAGATATGTTGTGAGATATGTTGTGATTCAGATACGCATGCTCTGGGACCGAACATGTTCTATAGCTTCCTTTCCATGCATGCAGCCAGGGAAGAGGTCTCGGCCAGCTGACCCGGCATGCCGCCATCCACAATCAACTTGCTGCACTGCTAGCAGGTCGAAAACTGATATTCCTCCTTCCAACAACCGCACAATGACGGCCCCTGGAACAGCATACATGTGTGCCCGCCCCCAGGTCCCTCTGAACGTCAGAGTGCCGTCCGGGCATATGCCGATCTACTGTTATTGCCCCTTTTCGCAGCCATCGCCTCGCAACTGGGCTGACTGCCGCAACGAACTTCCCTGCCGTGCGTAACCACTTGCCGTACTTATATTCTAGCCCAGAGTACAAGGCAGGGTTGCAAGAGACGTGGCATTCCTAGGACACGTGTGCCCGGCCCCTGCCTAGCAGATGGTTGTAGCATATGTGTGTGTGTGTGTTACATGGTTGGGCATGGTTGTAGCATATATATGCCACCCTTGAGTGCGATGTAGGTTGTAGGTCTCTTTGGAAAGTCTTCATAACCAGAGCCTAATGAGGGACCATGGACACTCTTCACAGCAACCACAGCGGAACACCCTACCTTCGATAGCTAGGTTTTGTCCACTAACCGAACATTCGAACATCCGTCAATGTTCGTCCTAAGGGCTGAATCTTCCGACGGCATATCCGAATGAGCAGCAGATAATTCGGCAACCAAGAGAAAAATGTCCGATCGGCCAACTAGGCCCGCAACTCGAAGTGGCAACTAGATAGTTGTCCTAAGCATTGCTAATACGGAATACAATACGGACAATCAATGCGTTCAAGCCGAGTCGGCAATTGAAGACTGTGGCGAGGTTTACGTCGGCATCGGTTGAAAGCGGTATTGTATTTGCTAGAACGCCATGTATGGGAAGGATGGCGCGCAGAATTTGGAATGATGCAGTGCAGAAGAATTAGCGTTTCGACTTTTGGCGGGCGTGTGGCACCTCCCGACGGTTCGTTCGTGCGACTCGACCAAACCCACATGAACCAAAATCGCATCCTACATAACAACTCATGCATATAGTTGTCATTGCTACTCCTATTTTTTCCTATTACGATATTGGTTTCGGGTTTTCCGCAGGGCTTTGGCAGTTGGCACGCCCCGAGTCGTACCATTGGCCAGACGCTGCAGCTGATGCCAAATCAGGGCCCCAGAAGAACCTACTACTCAGTTGGCCAGCCGGCAAAGAGCACATTAGCAAATAGATTTAAGCTGGAGTTTAGACTTAGAGCTTGCCGCCTCTACAGCCGTGCAAATGAGTACGCGGCGTACGGTGTTCGGTCGGTGCGCGGACAAACTACTCGGGGCCCCAATCGCAAATCAATCAGCCTTTTAGCGCATCTATGTACGACCTGTAAATGTTTTACTGTTGAATGGCGATTGAAGGCATGGAATAGTAAGTCCAATACGCATTTAAAATTTATCGACATTTCTGGTAATCTCAATAAATCTTTCATTTTCTGCTTGTAAAATATTGGAAATAATTAGGTATACAGATTATCCGAAATTGGCGCTCGAGGAGTATGCCACTAATAGGTACCGCCGGCGGTTGGCCTAGTGTGGACTTGCTCCGCGGACATGAATTCGATCGAGACTGCCAGTAGGTAATGAAGTTACGGCAGAGCTATTGTTGCCTGGCATGCTCCACGCGTTGTAGGTACCATCGTCCGATGTCAGACTACCTGATCCCTGTATTGCTAGCTGGCCGTCTGCAAAACATTCAAGGCTCTGTGGGGTCCGCCATGCCCCGGGTCAGTTACATCACCATGATTGAGGGTGTCCTTTGTGTTTGGGTCTAATGCACAACCGATTTGCATTGGTGGGTTTTTGCGTGAGGCATATGTACCGTACGGCCGTTAAAAATCGTCATACCGGGTTCTTGTCCGATAACTACTATACTAGAAGGTACCGTCTTTAGACATGATAATATTTGGCTGTCCCGGCGGATCTATGCATTGCGCATAGGAAGGCAACCCTGCTGATTGAAGCGAATATGAGAAACGGCATTATGGGTGGAAGGCGCTGCAGAAATGTGGCATTTTATTGTATAACGCTGCCATTTCGTGTTAGCTGCCCTGCTGAGCAAATCCGGTAAGGCTACCAATCATTCATGTTTACGAAATAGGCCGATTTCTACCGCTGCAAGTTTCTTACGGCGGCCGAACTATGCGATGTTATGCCGCAATAATGCGGCCGATCCGTCGAAGTTTGCGAGTGCGTGGAGCGTTTTCACGGTTGCAGGGTACGGTGCCACAAACATATAAAGTATATAACCAGAAGAAACTTTAACCACGGTTTTCCTTTCTGACAAGGATGTAACGACATTACTTATGACAGTAACGACATTACTTATGACAGTAAGAGGGACCCAACAGCCACCAGATCTGAACCAGTATGGTGGAGACGACATCGGGAATGCTGTGACGAACAAAGCTAAGAATGGTTTATGTGACGAACGAACGGGGCTCCATTTCTGAATTGAAGACATGCTTCCTTCAGTTTAGAAAATACAGGCTCATGTATCTTGATAGACAATTCCGTGGCCCAATTCATGAGGGCGAGAGGCCCCTCTTACCTTGCAGCAGGTGATGTGCCTCCACTGCCTCCAATGTTTCCACCTACTTCTCTACGCAGCAATTGTTTAGCTCATGTGGACTTAGGTTGAGCTCATTGGCTGCATTGGCTCAACTTCACGGCAGAGTCACCCGCCTCGGTCCTTCGATCCTCAAATGTTGTGATGGCGACAGGAATCGTAGGTTAAAGCCCAGAACCACCTTCCCTTTCCCCTTAAATCATATTGGTGAACTTTTATGTCAATGGCTCACCGCCATCCCAATTACAGGATGAGCTCGCTACTTGCTCTTATCGCGGTCCAGCTATTTACTAATTTGGAACGTACATCTCTAACCTCTGTGGCAATAAATTAAGCCTGGCCATGAAGATAAACAGGTATTGTGCTACTAGACCGAACTGTCGCCGCTGTCGCTTGAGCTTCCAAAGCCGACGGCCTAATCCCTCGCGCGGCATAACTCAGGTAATGAAGGCTAACATAGCGCGTGTTCCTGGCTATGTACTCTGCCCTTCCAGCCACTTGCCATGGTTTGTCGAACATCGCAACCAGCCATTTCCATGTCCAGTGTCTGCCAGACAGGTGCTGTGTGTGGCACTGGACTATAGCATGCGCAGGGAGGTATACAGTGGGGGCTGGTAAGGGCTCGGTATGTATGTAAGAGCAGTAGGACAGTAGGCCCGTAGAAACGGGTGCAGTAAGAACGACAGGAGGACTAGGTGGGGTCTTCTGGCACGGTATTAGCCATTTAGCTACCCCCCTGGAGCCCCCGCCTCCGTCCGCCCAGCTAGTTAGATGACAGCTTGTTGTACAGCAGACGTGCCAAGGTACTGCATCCGAAATTCGTACGCGACCAACTACGTCTTGCTGCGAGTTGCCTATTGCAGCCAAGCGTGGTGGCAGAAGCGAAAATGTTCAACAGGATCTCCCTCACACAAACAGAAAATGCAGCTCGCAAGCTGACTCTGGCTTGGCCCACCTGACTAGGACTTCACATGACACGCACGAGTTGCTTTGGTGGCGGGTGACTATAAACCACGTACATATACGGCGGCAAGTATGTATGCATGTATTTACCTATGTATGAACGTATGTACGTATGCATGTACGTACGTACGTATGTATATATGTACGTATGTATGTATGCATGTATGCTGTACATGTTGGGGCAGCAGCCCCGCGTGCAACGGAAAGGCTTCGTGTGCCCATACATGCACCACCATAAAACCACACCTTAATCATGCTTCGGTATGCGCCATTTGGGGGTTAGGTCGACCGCCGCTTATATTGCAGATATGATGTACGAGGTACACAACAGGCTTATGTATGCAAAAGTATTTTCTACCTTTTCAGCGCTAGAGATTAAGTTCTTACTTCCAGCGTCAACAGCACGTATGGCAAGAAGAATACCATGATTAGTTATTCGACAAGCAAATACATGTAATACAACACCCCACCCGCACCACATATGGCGCCCGCACGTCTCAGAAGCCTTCTTCCAAATGGAGCAGCACGGTGAGGCAGGCCTGTGTGCGGCACGCTTCTATTTATCCCAAGATACACCACACGCCCACTTCAATAAACATGCGATTCACATATCCTGCAGCCACGCGTTCATTCCAAAGGTTGCGCTACCTCCATGAATTCCTATGAGGCATACATTTCATTCGTATTCATATTTGTTGTCCTGCTCCTGGCAAGAACACACCTACAGTAACATGTAAAAAAAACACCGTGCAAAAGAAAGAATGGATCTGAAGCACTAATACTATTGATCCAGCTTATGTACACAGGTCGCCCTTGCGGTGAAACAGATCAATCGATCGGGCAATCGGAGCTGTGCCCTGTACCGTGTCAAGTGATGGCGACTAGCGAATGCCGTTCATTGATGGAGGGCAAGGGTGTCACTTTACCGCTGTCACTGCCACTGCACGTTTGCACATGCCGGCGGGCGTGTATGCATGTTTACTAAATCAAGCACTTCCGTAAGTAATGCATGCGTCGTCTAAAGCACGCTGCTTGTTTGCACGCCGCATCCTTTCCACACGCGCACAGACGTCCTCACCAAGTCCTACCAAGTCCGTACGGCTCGTACCCTCCGCTGAACATAAATAGCCACAGATGCTAGGAATCATACACATAATAAACTGGCATCCACAGTTTCTCGTCACCAATGTCATTAATGCTCCAAACACAAACAAAAATCCCCTTTTACAGAACTATGCATGCACCGCAACGCTCTGCAGCCTGCTGCTGCTGGGAAGGGATTACTGACGGACCCATGGGTCGCCACAACAGGCCCCCAGGGGACCAAGCTACATACTGCTGGACGTTCTATCCAGCCTACACCTCCATTCTTAACCCATGCGAGCCCCACCAGCGGGAGGTGAATGTCTGCATGTGCATCTTTTCGCAATAGCACGGTCCACTAACTCATTTGATTGCTGCGAATGCAGGAAGTGCTCAAGACGCGAGTCCCACCAAGTTCAATCACTCCCCGTAAGCGCATCATCAGGGCCCCGTGCGGTAGGTCGGGCAGCAGTAGTCCGAGTTATCGCGGTTGAAAAGGCTTGCGTAGCTGCAGAGGGGATGCGGAGAGTGGAGAGGAGCATGGAAGGGCGATGATACAAGAAGGGCAGTCTTGCCAGACAGGCAGACGGGCAGACAGGCAGACAGGCAGACAGGCAGACAGGCAGACAGGCAGACAGGCAGACAGGCAGACAGGCAGACAGGCAGACAGGCAGACAGGCAGACAGGCAGACAGGCAGACAGGCAGACAGGCAGACAGGCAGACAGGCAGACAGGCAGACAGGCAGACAGGCAGACAGGCAGACAGGCAGACAGGCAGACAGGCAGACAGGCAGACAGGCAGACAGGCAGACAGGCAGACAGGCAGACAGGCAGACAGGCAGACAGGCAGACAGGCAGACAGACGAACATAAAGTGTGCGAGACGTACGGGCATGGCGGGCTGCAGATGCATGCTTCGGGTCATTAAGCATAAGCATTTGCTGATACTACGTGGCATTATCCCGGTTAGCACCAGAATGTTCTTCTTGGGGGTTATCACAGCAAAACAAGCAAGGGCTTGTAATGAGGGCTTGTAATGAGGTCACGCCACGGCCGTTATTAAAGACGCCGTATTAGTGTAGCATGATAACCAATCTGGCAGAAACTTATATCGGCCACGCACACAGCCTGAATTGGCTCCTTACCACTGCTGGCCAATTCCCCCCTTGCACACATCGCTCATGGTGATGGGGTTCTGAATCGCCACGCACACCAAGCCTCCGTTGGCTTGCTCGCCGGTCCAGTTGAGTGACACTGCGGGGATCACAGCAGGCAGGGAATTCCTTATTAGGTCATTAGGGGGTGAGAGGTGCTTGGCAGATTAACAAGCGAGGGCAGCAACATGGAGGAAGCATCACTTGCCTAGTGGTAGGTCATTGGCTGCCGCGATGTGTAGGCGAATGAGAAGACTATCACTTTTGTACAAGAACGTTTACCGTACAAGGTTGAATAGATTGAATTGATAGGTTGAATAGATTGCACGCACGATCATGCGAGACAGTCTTTGTGCTCCACACAAAATGCGCGGCAGTGTGTATATGTGTGTGTGTGTGGTGTTATAGCAGGGCGTTGCATGCCGATCCTACCTTTCAGGGTGTCGGCTCCTTTGGCGCCCCAGCTGTCCGCAATTAGTGTCCTGCTCGTCGTCGAATTCGCGGCGGGGTAAACTGAAAAGCCTTTCACCGCCGACCTGTACAAGTCATCTGCAGAGCGAAAAGGCAAAGTACACAACAGCAATAGGGATAAGGATAATCCTGGTCCACAGTTAGGACGGAGGGAACCAGATAAGAGGCCATGTAAAGTAGGCATGATGATGAAGCCCGTGCCGGGGTTCGTTTAAAAGGTGTATGTACATATGTGATTATGTATGCTCTGTATGTATGTTCAGGGCCATGACCCACACACGAGGGTCATGGGCGAGGGTCATTGGACGTTCCTGCCTGCACCTATACAACAAGGCACGCAGTCGACGCTCCACATGCGGTAGGTAGGTGGTAGCTGGCTGCAAAATGCTGGATGCGGGTCAGCGCGTATTTATAGACAATGTGTGCAGTGTACTATACGGCAGATACTACAGGTTTGTAGATCCCTGCGGGATCTATGGTTCTGAACGGCCACGCCCCCACACATGTCGGACGGAGGAGCTCAGATCTTAGGTTTTCCAAAAGGATGGCAAGCAACAGCAATGATAACTTACTTGCATACCACTCGATCTTGGCGAGCGCGTCGTTTGCGTTGTAGCAGGTGCTCTGCAGGGGGACAGCGAACGAGGCAGCATCCTCAGTCATGTAATTTCTTAACTTTGTCTGGGTGAGCTACACGCAGCAGACAGGCTCGCGTGCCTTGTCCAGACCCGATACAACTAACCGAGCACATCTGGCATGCAGCCAAGCATGCATGGGTGCGTGGAAGAAAACAAAGCACCACCCCACGGGTCCTCCATGCACCTATCTGGCCTCACCGGCACGACCTGACTTGGCTGTAGCGTGTTGACGGTGAAGCAGTACTCAGTGACGTTGCGGCCCCAGCGGACATTGGCCGGCTGTGTATACCAGGTGGGGGAGACTGTGAACGGCATGACTCCCTGGGTTGTGTTGCACCTGCGCGTCAGAAGGCGAGCGGAGGCGGCAGCAGGGTCGGTAACTAGTACTATCACATATTCACCCAACGTTCCTGATTTTTTCACATAGCCATGTGAGCAAGGTATCCATGCAAGCGCGGTGTCTTTGCCTTCAGCCATTCATCCAAAGCTCTGCATACACGACAAAGACGCGAGCCAGATCCCAAACATGGGTCCATCCATTGCGGGAGGAAGCTTTGGTTATTAGGCCCTACATCCTCGCCCCCAAATCTTTACGGAGGGCGGCCGCGCCGCAAAAGAGACGACGCCATGAAGTAGGGTGACTCACGTGCAGTTGGGGAATGGAACGCCAGGCAGGAAGCAACTAGCCGACTGCGAGAGGTCCAGGCACTGATCTGCTACATTGTTGATGGTGGAGACCGTCACCGTGTATTTCTCCAACTTTGGATTGCAGACGTTGCCGCCTGACGCGATTTCGACGAAGGCGGGAAGCTGCTGCTGCACCGCTTCCGTCAGATTGGCCAACGCATCACTGTCCGAACCGTTGAACCTGCCACATGTAATGATTTGTGTGTCAAAGCACTGGCTTGCATTTGGCGCGAAGGGTGAGAAGGCGCCGACGTTGGCGGCTCCCAGGAGAGAGTTCATGATGTTGGCGATGTTCTGCTGAATGGCGGCGCAGGTGGCGCTGTCGTAGCGGTATGGTCGCACATCAATGGCCGGGGGCACAATGGTGGCGGCGATGCAGACGTCACAAGGGCGTCTGACCGGCGGAATTTCTGGTGGCGGCGGCGGGAGGGCCTGACCAGCTTGAGAAACCGGGCAGCAATCGCATGAGACATCGAACATAGCTGCTGTGCATGTCCCTGCGGGGAAGCCTGGCGACGAGCACAGTTGCTCCAGGGTGGTGCAGCCCTGGCCTCCGCGGTTGGTCCTGAGGGTGAGGCACACCTCCGCATCCTGGGCGGTCGCGGTGTCCAGCCCCAGCTGGGTGAGCCGCAGAATGGCGGAGCCAACAGGCCCAGCCGGGGCCTTGTCCAGGGTCGCACCAACCCGGGTCCGCACTCCATTCACGGTGGCGACGACTGAAGCCCCGGCCACCAGGCAGCTGCTGGACACGTTGAACTGCGGACATGGCGGGATGGCATGTGGTGGGAGGATGGAGTGAGGGCAAGGTGAGGCAGGAGGGAACATCACAATTTGATGTTCCCTCTACTTTTGAGGGTGCGAAGTTCCCATTCTGTCCAGTACATGTAAATGAGCTATATAGATCTTGGCAGGTGCTTGGCAAAGCCTGGTTAGACATCCACTCCCCTGAGCAGCTAGGATGGTAACGGAGCCCCCAACACCGACATCATGAGCCTCTTCCCGTGCTTTCCGAGGCCCTAGGACCTGTAGCAATATGTCTGCATGTCGCATCCCCCACACCATCAGCCGGCCGTGCGCGCACCTCAATTTTGTGCAAGTCGGCGCTGCAGCAGGCGCCAGTGCAGGACAGGGCATCCTGGCTGACCTGGATCTTGAAGCAGTACGTGTTGCTGCCCGAAGGCCGCCACACCGGTGCCAGCCGGTACGCGCCGTTTGTGGTGTTGCAGTTGCGGAACGGGAAGTTGGGGATGCTGCCAGGCGTGACAGCTGAGCCTTCGTACTCGTAATCTTGCGCATTTGCGCCGACGGCCCTGAAGGGATATCGGTCAGCGACAACATCAACGCACACGATGATGTGCTACGCCATAATTTTCATTCCGGTTTGAATAATAGTTGTAGATGTTCCATACAGGGAAATTCGTAGCGCAAACGTAGTGCTCACTCGATGCTTGAAACATCGGATACGATTTGTGGCCTAAATATTAGCTTTTATTGAAAGATATCGTTCACGCGTAACATCGGGTAAATGTTCAAAGTAATCCTGTGCGGTGCTTACCATCCAATCGCCAGCACTGTCGCAAGCATTAAAGCTGAAGCTGTCAAGTTTTCCATCGTGATCAACCCTTAAAAAATTTGTTGTATTATTTGACAGCATGGACCTTGGTTATGTACCCAGGTGACAGCTGGGCCCTACGGCGACCTAAAGGCGGGCGCCCGGCGGATGCCCGTTGGCTTGTTTTTCCGCGAACATGCGCCACAACAGACTCCATACCTTTAACAGTGAAGAGATAAGTAAATTAAGCCTATGAGAATGGTGTAAGGATTCTGGAATCAAATTATGGGCTTCCAACGGCTTACAGCTTATCCGATGCATGCGATATGCATGAGTGGCTAAAAAAATCGATTAATATGTTTTCCTTTCGCCCAGGCTATGTTGCTCTGAAGGTACAAATTTCAGGTGACAGTCTATCCGGTGGGCCGACATGGGTGGCTCTGGAATCTTCAAGATGTCGATATGTAAGTAGGGAAATTTTCAAGCTGTAAATTGCTGCATCACATTTATAGACGACGCTGAGTTACAGTCTATCCGGTGTATATTGCGACCCGATTCGCGGCCCGCGAACATATCCAGCTACTACATGCCACCTGTAGCATCCACAACTTCATTTTTCGGATTATTCTGATTATTCTGAATGAAACGCGGCAGCCCTACGGTGTGACAGCGGAGCGGCAGAAAACGCATTATTGTCGCATATGTGCGCAGGTAGCGCCAACTCTGCGCCAAGGGCTGAACCAGCGACAAAGCCACTTAAGGTCATGCAGGGGCTCCCTTCCGTTCTCCATCCCCTTCACCGCACCTTTCTCACTTAAGCTTCGCTTAGAGAAAGACACGCGTACAGCTGAGCCCGCTATGGCTACCATAACCGGTCGCTGGCAACGTCTGGCAATCGCGTCTTGGAGCCGGCACAGGCCATGCCAGTAACGCCGCCTGACGAAGCGCCGAAAAGAAAGATGACCAGCATGCTGAAGGCGCGCACATTTTACAACTTCCTTGGTGTATAAACTCACGTCAACACCCATGCCATTTACAATCACTGAGAACATATAAGCCATGTGCACTTGCAGTGCTGGTAATCCTACAAGCCGACAGCAGCAAGAACGTCTGCGCATCCCCTTCCGGCTACTGCAACGCATAAGGACCCACAGCGCACGGAAGCCTCAGTTTCCCAACCCCCTTGACGAACACCACTACCTGCACGTGTGTGTTTACTGTTGTCATTATTGGCTATCGATGCTGAAACCTGCACACCGCATGTGCGCTCAGGGCTTAAATGTCGTCGTGCGCATGTCATGTCATGTCATCGAGGGCCCTCCACCGTAGAGCATCATAAGCGTTTCTTAGTGTATTTCATGCAGCAAATTGAAAACCGCAGAAAAGGAGAACGAACAGCTCACTGACCTCCCAAGGAATTCAGTCCAGTCGCAACGCCGCCGCAAGGCTCGAAAAAAGAACGACATATACGGTCGTCGCTCGCGGCACGCAGCACCTTGATGAGCAGGCGCTACCAGCATTGATCGGGTACGACGCAGCCTGCGTATCTCATCTCCACTCGCATCGATCCCCTTTGTGGGCGCGAGGGCCCCTGCGTAACCAAACCCTCCCCCTACATTTCTCAGTGCAGCCGCCGCCATCCAGCCGCCGCGCCAGCCTCGCCCCTGTCCACGCTCTGTCCAGCAGCCGACCCGGAACTCGCACTCTCCCTAGTTACTTGCCTTGTCAATACACTCCTGTCAAAACGTCATCCGGTTTGTAAGTCTGATATATAAACATTGATGTTGGTAATATGTTTAAAGGCTATTGCCCTGCCCATAATGCACATGCCCAAGGGCTATTTTAGTTTATGTAATGTTTGACTTACTCGGCAATCCCAGCTTTTCACATACCCCATATCGCTACACTCATAAGGCGAGCACGTTTTCGGTAACGAGCTTTGGCAACTGCATTGCGCTCTTGGCCCCAAAACTACACTTCAGTTAATGTCTTGATGTATGTTGCACCCCGCAACATACATCAAACAACTACTAGGGTTTGGCACTACTGGTAAGGCGCGACCATTGCCCCCGGGAGATCCCGGAATCGATACCCAATAGTTAATGGACGGTGGAACCCGGGATCAATACCCAGTAGTTAATGGACGATACCCAATAGTTAAGTGACCTGGGATAAAGTCAACCTGCGAGCCGCCCAGGAATGGAGTTGGGCCGCTATCGACCCGGCAGATTCCATTGGATGCTGGTGGTGGGTGCGGAACCTGAGCGATCCACTGAGAAGTTAACTAGGGTGACTGGATGATGGTGCCCCGAAATACCGGGGAAGGCAGGGTTTCGCAGGGTAGCTGCCACGGGCGAAGATACATCCCCCTGTTTCACACATCAAACAACATCAAATGCGTGCGTGTCGAAGCGTTGTCGAAGACTCGCAATCCCATGCAGCACTTCTATACGTTGCAGCCATTATCATGCAATAATGTAGTGATTTCATCCTTTTTTTCCTTGCTGCTGTATCATGTGGCAGCAGAACAACAGCAACAAAATCGACAAGGCGGCTTTGGTAGCCTGCTTTGGCAACGTTATGCTTCAGTTGCCTTAACTAGCAGCCCTCGAGTCGAAGTACTCCCGCCCAAATGCGCTGCGCGTACCTACAGCGGCTGGAGGGGAATATGGCTTCCGGCATATATGATGAAATTTACGTTCCAAACGCGCAAGTCTTAAACAGTAGTGGATCTGTGGCGCCTATCCGGCGAGCGCTGCACCAATGCAAGCGTCGTGAAAAAGTAATTCCTCCCCGCACCAAGGATATTGAACCAATCTATTGACGCAACATTCCATCCATTTCATCACGCTCTGGGACCAAAGGGCCTCGACAAGGACGCCCGAAGTTGGCCAAACACGCCGCGCGCATTATTAAATACGGGTCAATACCGCAGGGAGGGAAAAATAGTCAAAGACCTGATAACATGCACACCACAGGACGGAAGGTGCGTGTGTCCTACGAAGCCCCCGAACAAAAACTTACCCTTGCTGCTCCCATCCCGACAGCCGTCATAACCATGCCAGCTGGCAGGACACCGTCCCCCTCTTCCTTTTCCTCTCCCCGTACACCTAAAGCGTGCCTGCAGTCTCTACATAGTCACACAAAGTGGAAAACATATCCAAGAATCCAGAACTAGATCCTAAATCCATAGGATGGCCGCCAGCCAGGGCGCGGAATCACGCGGCTCCCCAGCTAGCCGGCGTGTGCGCCAAGGCTAAGCGAAAAGGCCTCGGTGTGCTGTGTGCGGCGTGCGCCAGTCGCAGTCCCAGTCCCAGTCCCTATCTAAACCTCTTTAAATCAGAAGGCGGGCAGGCTTGCAAAGCCACTGCTGTCCACCGCAACGTAGAGAATCTCGTGTGCGCCGGTGGTGCGTCCTCTGAAGAGGAAGGGACCTGCTCATCGCGATGCCGGTGGTGGCGGACTCCGTCGTAAGTCGCGCTCCAGCGACCTGAAGGAGGCGGAAAGGCGCCGAGGAGGGAGGAACAGGTGGAGCGACAGTGGAGGATACGCACAGTGGCGGTGCCTGCATGTGGGTGGTGCGGTAGCCGCCGGGGACAACGCACACGAGAGCCTACTACGCAGTGTGGGGCCTGCAGTGTCGCCGAGGCGACGGAGAGAGGCTCGGCCGATAGGTAAGTAGAGGCCGCTAGTTGGTAGAGGCCGCTGGGCACGTGATGACGAGTAATAAAGAAAAAAATACCACTGCGTAATACCCCCGCATACCCCCTTCCCAAAGACGTAGAGGCTAAGAAACAAAGCACAGACGACGCACCTAAGCTTGTCCATGCACGCATCCATCTTGCGCTTGAGCATCGCCACAATCACGTCCTCAGCGGCTGCCTCAGGGTCCCCCCCCGGCCACGCTTTGTCCGCCTCTGCCGTCGCCACCGCCGCCGCCGGTCTCAGGCGCTGCTGATGTGGGTCCTGGCCCAGGGGGCCTGGGTATGCCACGGACATTGACGGCGCCTGACGACCCAGAGGTTGCAAGCAGGACTGGGAATACGGCGGGAGTGAAACGGAGGTATTGAAGTCCAGCAGGCTGCCGTGGGGAGCTGCTGCCGCTGCCGGTAGCGCTGGCATGTACTCATCCGGATGCCCGGTCCGTCTTCCAGGAGGGGCCGTTGCGGCAGCCGCCTCTCTGCCGTCCAGGACCTTCCCCGAGCCATCCGGTCGTTGCGGCGGGGGTAGTGGTTGAATCGGCGGCGGCGATGGCGGCGATGGCTGCGATGGCTGCGATGGCTGTGGCTGGGGTTGGTGCATGGAGCCTAAAGGCAGCGCTGGTTGGGCCAAACTATGGAGAGTCGACGACCCAGATAACAAAGTGTGGCTGGCGGATGAGGGGCGTTGAAACGAGGACGCCGCCGCCGCCACTGTCGCCATTGTCGTCGCCGCCGCCACGACTGTTGCCGCCGTCACTGCTGATGCTTCTCCTGCTACAACAGCGGACCTCTGCCGCTGCTGTTGCTGCTGCTGCTGCTGCTGCTGCTGCTGCTGCTGCTGCTGTCCTAGCTGCATCGCGGCGTTGAAGGCAGAGTGGTGAACTGTTGGCTGGCCGGCTGTCAGGTCCGTATGGACGCCATCTTCAGGCCGCTGTGGCTGCTGGGATGGCGCTCCCACAGGGAACGGTACGGCATCGAATGTACGGCGAGCCGCGTGCTGCTGAGCCGTGCACGTGGGACCATTCCCCCATGCGGCCTCAGGCTGCTGCTGCATGAAACCGGAAGCATCGGAAGCCAGGGGGCCAACATTGGCGCCGGCGGCGACGGCAGCGGTGGCGGCGGCCCTGGCTGTAGCTGTCAGCGCTGCAGAGCCTTGGATTTGATGTGAACCGGCAGGCGGTGACAGGCTATCGACACTGTCGGGCTGACACTGCTGCTGCTGCTGCTGCTGTAGCACCAGAGCAGTTGGGCTTTGGAAGCTCTGAAAGTGCCCCAAGTCCTGGTCCAGGGTCGCATCCTCTTCCCTGGCATCTAGGAACAGCGACCGCCGCGTGTGCGCCCTCACGCCCGTCGACTGATGTGCCGCCTGCTGCTGCTGCTGCTGCTCCTGCTGCTGCTGCTGCTGCTCTTGCTGCTTCCCGGACCACGCGTCTTCCTCCTGGCGCAGCGGTGGCGCCCTCGTTGCATCTTGGGGTTGCAGATGGAGCGGCGAGTGCATGGATGTGCCTTGCGGCGTCCCTAACGGCCGCATCCCGAGAACCTCCCGCCGAGCAAAATCATCATCATCATCATCAGCAGCAGCAGCATTCACAGCCGTCGCTGTAGCAACAGAATCAATAGCAGTAGCTGCGCCAGTTGCTATATCAGTAGCAGTAGCAGTAGCAGCGCCAGTTGCAGTAGCAGTAGCAGTAGCTGAAGAGGGGCTGCCGCGGATCGGCGGCAGCCTTCCGCCGCCCGGGTTCGGACCCTTGGCCAGCTGAATGGCGCTACCGAGCTTCGGAACGGCTGCTGCTGCGGCTGGTGCTGGTGGTGCTTGCGCCATGGCCGTGTGGTCTGATGGACGGAATGATGTGTTCCTGCTAGTGCTGGGTGGCGAGGATGGCTGCCGAATTTGCGGCGAAACATTGTCACATTGCCGCTGCACGCCATGCTGCTGTCCTTCCTTTACCTGTACCCCGTTCCGTTGGTAAGGCAAGAGGGCCGCGAGATGCCCGGGGCTGGCGGGGCCGGGGAAGGACCCATGGGTCGCGACCCGTGGGTCGTTTGCACCGCGACTGGGCCCAATGAGCCCGGAGGTGGCAGCGGCAGCACTGGGTGCTACTGTCGCAGCAGCCGTCGCACCGCCCAAGTTGCGGCCGTTGCCTTCGTCGTCACCCGCGCGAGATGACGGTGATGATGTCGCGGCTTCCGCTGCTGTGCCGTCCTCTGCCGCCACCGCCACTACTGCGGCCGATGATGACGACGACGACGACTCATCACTACTGCCGATTTCGGTAATGATGACAGGCGGCACCCGGCGACCCATCGGCATGCTACTGCCGCCACCGCCACCGCTTAGGAACATCGCCTCCAACGGATCATCCACCATAAAGACCAGGCCACTCTCCCCTGTCACCGGATCAATCTCAATCTCGAAGGAACCGCTGGCGGCAGCCGCCGCCGCCGCCGCCGCCGCCTCGGGGATTGACATTCCCCGAGCGGCGGCAGCTGCCGCCAGCGCCGCCGTTGCCGCCGCGGCCGCGGCGGCGGCTCCCGACGACCTGACCGAGTCGCCGCCAATTGTGGCATCCTGATGCGATGCGCCGAGCATTAGCAGTTCCTCAATGTCCAAACTGTACAACACTGGATGTGCGGAAGCGCCAAAATCGTACACTGACTCCGTGGATGAGGAGTTGGAGCGATCTGCCTCCTGTCCCCGCGACGACGGATCCGTCGTCCCGTCGGTGGAGGCACCGCTGCCTTCCGTACCCGCATGCTGCCCTGGCGGCGCAGCGGTGGAGGACAAGGCCGCCGCGGGGCCATGGTCCACGGCAGACGCGGATGCCGTACCGCCACAGCTGCCACCATCGGCAGGGACGGCGGCGGCGCCCATGGCAATTCTTGCGGTCGCAGCGTAAATATCCACGCCAGCTGGAGCGGCGGCAGCCGCGGCGACACTGACGCCACAAACGCTGCCATCTCCGCTGCCGCTGCGGCTACCACTGCCGCTGCCGCTGCCGCTGCCAGCATCGCCGCATGTGAGGCCGGAGACCCCCAACAAAACATCGCCTGAGAGCTCGGCAGCGAAAGCGGCCGCGGCTTCTTGGTACGGCCGCGCGGCAGACCGGCTCGCGGCACTGAGCGGCTCGCCTCGTGGGGCACTAACGTGATGCGTGCTGTGTAACTGGCCCGCTACCGCTACCGCCGCCGTAGCAGCAGCAGCAGCAGCAGCAGTAGCCCCACCATCTCTGGAGCGCTCCCAACCCAAGCGCTGCTGTACTGTCGACGGCGCCCCCGTACCTTCAGTCGATCCCTTCCGTCTGTCATCAAACGTCAGAGGCGAGAGAGGACCCGCTGCGGAAGCAGCAGGAGCAGCAGGAGGAGAAGAGGAAGCTTCATACGCGGAGGCCGCAGGAGCAGCAGCAGCAGCAGCAGCAGCAGCAATGGCGCCCAAGGAGATGTCGGACCCGGAAGACTGCGGACTGGGCTCCACAAAGTCCTCTTCGTACACCTCCGAAACCACGGTGCTGGCACTGCGTTGCCTTAGGGCGCCATCTTCGCTATGGCTGCGGCTATGGCTGCTGCTGCTGCTGCTGCTGCTGCCGGCCTCCAGATGGACACCAGTGTACCACCTGCCGTCGCCCCTGAATTCAGGAACGCCGCCGCCGCCGGCGTCAGCCGCCGCCGCCTGCGTTTCCCGGTTGTTGGTGGCCACTGCGGCGACACCTTCATGCGGATCAATGCTCGCCATTGACGCCTCGCGCAGCGTTCCCGCCACCGCTGCCAGCGGTACGGCCGGCGGTACGGCCGGCCGGAGGTGGTGGTCGCGGTCGCGGTCCCAGCTACTACTCGTTCTCTCCGCTCCAGGCAACCACGGCATCACGAAAGCAGTCTCAGCGCCGTGCTGCAAAGCGGGCCCACGGGCCGCGGCGGCGGCGGCGACTGCCCTGCTTATGCCCGCTGCTGATGCTCCGGGTGGTGCATCTGCCGGGTCGTCACAGCCGGCTTCCGCCATCCTCCCCGGCACCTCCCCTGCCGCCACGGCAGCGTATCTCCCTCGGCCGAGCGGCGACAGCTCCCGCTCAACACTCCCAGACCGCCTCCTCACCGCAGCCCCCACATCCTCCCGGCCAGTCATCGCCGCTGCTGCTGCTGCTGCTGCGGCCGCGGCAAACCTCCCGCTGCCGCCGTCATTGCTGTTGCTGCCGCCACCAGCACCACCACCGCCGGCGGCGGTGGTGCTGAACCTGCTACTGTCGCCACCGACCTCAAGGGAGGTGACAGGGCTGTCGCCGAACAGCGCGGCGGTGACGGTGTGGTGTAGGATGGCGGCGAAGCGGGAGCCCCCGGAGGAGGCGATGCTGCTGAAAGGTGTGGAGCTGTCCGGCGGTCGGGAAAGGTCCCCATCAGAGGAAAGGTGGCATGGGCCCACAGACACAGGTTACAATACGGCGGCGGCGGCGGCGGCGGCGGCGGTGGTGGTGGTGGTGGTGGTGGTGGCAATACATGCGGGTGGTGCGGGTGGTACGAGGGCAAGGACCGAATAATATAGTAAGGAGCCGAACGGAGCACGGCGGGAATGCAGCGGTTTCCGGGGGAAAACAAAGGAGCCGTACATGCATGCATTGCCCCCACCGATTCGAGCATGCAGGTATGTGATAAATGTATGTATGCATGTATGTATATATGTATGCAGCGGGGAGTGCACGACGCGTGGGCATCGGGGGGGGTTGGCAAAGCGGCCGGCCGGACCATGCAAATGGGGCGGCAAGTGGGGCGGCAAGTGGCGTGTTCTCCACTGGAGCTCAAATACTCAGGGGGATGGCTGGATGAAAGGTCGGAGTGGCACGCGGAGTGCATCTTAGCAATCGCATCCAACCCCCCCAAGCATGTTTCCCACCTGGATACGTCACCGGGAACCCGTACCATCAGCCCGCCAGGGCTGGCCCCACCGCCGCTGCTACCAGTTTCATCGCCGCCCCAACGACCGGCGCCGCCGCCGCCACGGCCTACCAACCGCCGGCGCCGTGAGGGACTAAGACCCGCTGCCACCGGTTCAGGCGACGCAATGGGCATAAAGGCTTGCATGACGTCACCATCGGCACTGTCAACAACACGGCCTGTGCCGTCGCCAACGTCGTCGCCGCCGCCGGCGCCCACCGCGCCACCGCCCTCCTCCCCCTCGCCGTTTTGGGTAATCCCCGACGGCAATGCAGGACCGCCAGGCCAGTGGCCCCCCGGATCCAGATCCAGACCCAGATCCACTTGCAGATGCGAATGTGAACGGGGCTGTGCGTGTGTTCTCCTGGCGGACGTAGGCGGCGTATCCGCGAAGAGACTGCCCCCAACCGCCAGGTCCAGTAACGAACCCAACACGGGCGTAAAAGCCGTCGGCCTGGGCCCGAAGTCGCCGCCCGCTGCCGCTGCCGCTGCCGCGCCCCGTGTGTCCGTACTCAGCAGCCGCAGCGATACCGGCGTGGAGAAGCCGACCTCAGCGTCGGCGGCGGCCGACGCGCTACTGCCGGGCGCCGCGTCCCCCGACGCCGCCTGTGGTGAAGCCACGCGAGAGGATGAAGCCCCGTGATCACGCGTCCCACTCGTCGCGCTGCTTGTCGCCGTCGCTGTGGGCGCTGCCACCGCTGCTGCTGCCGTCACCACCGCTCGGGAGCCGGGTGATGAAGCGGGACTAAACGAGCCGCTAGCACTGACGTCGCCGCTGCCTCCGCCAGCTCCTGGGCTCTTACGTAGTGACGCCTCAGCACTGTCAGGATTGCCCTTTACCACCCGCAAAGCCATATCGTGGGGTTCCACATACTCAGGTGCCACATCCGCCTCCCGAGCCCTAGCCCCAGCCGCATCGTGGCCACGTTCCGACTCGCCGCTGCCTCCGCCTCCGCTGCCGTCGTCGCGAAAGGCCGCGGGCAACAAGGCCGCATCCACCGGCCTCGGAATGCCCAGCGCCGCCAGCCAGCCGGGCCATGCCGCCGAAGCTACCGCCGGCGCCGCGGCCTCGTCATCAGACTTCAGGCTGCCTGACCGCTCCATGTCCACATCCTCCACCGCCACATCCTCCACCGCCACTTCAGTTTCTTCCATTTCCGCCACCACTGGCGCTTTCGGGTTCGTGACGTATTGGCCGACTGCGGCACGTCGCACGGCGGCGTCTTCCACTGCAGCCTCCTCAAACGCGTCGGCGAGACGGCGGGAACCTCCGCCGGCTGCTCCCGACATGACGCCATTTGATGCAGTCGCCGCCGCCGCTCCCGCCACAGCCGCAACTTCTACCAGCCTTCCACCGGCGTGTTGCGGCGCAGGCTCCCCGCAGGGCCCGGCGTCAGCGTCAGCGTCCCGCGGTGGCAGCGGCGGCGGCACCTGCAAGGGCTCACAAGGGCCGTACAGGCGCGAGGAAGCCGTTCCGCCGTTCGTCTGATGCGCGGCAGCTCGCCTGACGCCAGTGGTGCTGCTACTGCAGCTTGCCTCGTCTTTGTCCATGTCACCGCCCGCAGCTCTGAAAGCAGCCGCCGAGGTCGCCGAAGGAGCCGCAGCGCCGCTCGTGGCTGCGGCTGTGCTAACAACACAGGAATGCAGGATAACCGCTGCGTCTGGTGACGTCATAGGAGGTGCAGGAGACGCAATGGTCGCCGCCGCGGCAAGTGCATGTACTGCGTCAGCGGCGGCGGGCGCAAGTACGGCGCCCAAACTTTGAGCCGCTGATGCCGACGCCGGGGATGTCCCAGCGACGGAGCCGAACGCGGTCTTGCTGGAAGACGGCAGTGACGCCGTGCCGGGCACCAGGCCAAAACGCTGCGCTAGGCGCGCCAGAAGGTCGTCCACGGATGGAACCAGCGGATCGGTGGCGGCAGCGGAGGCGGAAGCCGTGAAGCTTGGCCCCACTGCCGCCATCCCCGCACCCCAGCTGTGACCGCTGGCGCCACCACCGGCGCCGCTGAGGCCTAGGAAACCTGACGCGGCGCCCGCCAAGGCCCCAGGTGCCGCCGTTACCGCCGCACGAAGACCTGACGCCACCGCACCAGAACGGGGCGGCTCGTCGGAGCCTCCAGGCAGCCCGCTGTCACGGCCACCAGAGCCGACGCAGCGGCCAGCCACCACCGCTGCCGCCGCAGCGCCAGACACCTGACCCAGCCAGTCCGCCAGGGCCGTACGAGCTGCAGAGAAGCCGCCAGGAAGGTGGGTCCCTAGGGTGCCATCGAACCGAACGACCAGCTCCTGCTGGGCCCCGCCGCCGCCGTGGGCCCCGATTGCGGCGGCGGCCGACGCGGAAGGTGATCCTGTCGCTGGCCCATTAGCGACGGAGGACATTGCCATGGCGGACAAGTCCGGAAGAAACCCTACAGGGCTTCTCTGTTGCTGCTGCTGCCTGAGTTGTCGCCAGGCCTGCAGAGGGTCGTTGGGCACCGCCTCCCCTCGCTTTAAGAGCAACCCAGGGCGGGGGGATGATCCTGGCGGCGGAAGTGGCGACGACGTCGTAGGCGACAAGGATGCAAGAGAGGGACCGCTGCCACCGACGCCGCCGGCCATGGTAATGGAAGGCGAGGCCGGAGCGGCAGCAGGCGCCGGATCCACGCCTGCTTGCGCCAACAGAGCCCTCTGCAGACAACGGGGAGAGATGTGGCAGCGGAAGGGTAGGTAGGCGAATGGCAGCGACACAGTGCCGACAGCACCGGCGGCGGAGACGGCGGCAGCGACAGCGCCGACAGCACCGGCAGGGTCAAGAAAACGGCCAGCCCGCCATTCAACGCGCATGGCTCCGGAGCCCCGGTACCGCCCCAAGGACCGCCGCAAGTGGAGCGAACATGCGAAACCTCAAACCACAACGCACACATCACCTCGGACCCTATCCGGGTGATATCCCCGACGACACAATGATTCGCTTGGTGGTGACTCGCTACTGCCTTACCAGCCGCTCCCTCCAAGGCGCCTGTCGCTCGGTCGCAGTAACGACGGCAGTAGCAGTAGCAGTAGCCCCAGCGGCAGTAGCAGTAGCAGTCGCTCCCTGCCGCCGGATCAAAGGGGTGTTCCCCTCTAAGCCACCATTGGCATCCGCCGCGCCCACCGGCACCTCCCCACTGCTTTCACTGCCCGTACAGCTGTTGCTGCTGCTGCTGCCACTGCCATGGCCGCCTCCGGCGCCTCCAAGGCCTCCTGATCCCGACCCCACCCGCTGGTGCCATAGAGCCGCGTCAGATCTAAAGCCCTGTACGCAGCCGTCCACAGCTGCACCTCCACCTTCCATCTGGCTCTCACCCATGTAGCGATCCTCGCCATTATCGCCATCATCAGGATGATGACGATGATGATGACGACGAGAACCGCCGTTGTATCCGGGCCGCCCAACGCCCTCGTTTTCACCAAAGCCCTTTCCAAAACTCCTCCCAGCGGTACTTTTGCGATCCTTGCCGAGACCCAGATCCAGATCCAGATCTGGTCTAGGAGAGGAGCCCCGTGGGCCCTCTCCTTCTTTGTGTGGATGATCTCGCACTGGTGCAGCGGCTGACAGGCCCGAACGCAAGTCCTGCTGCGGCTGCTGCTGCGGCTGCGGCTGCGGCTGCGGCTGCAACAGACCGGCACCGCTGGGACCGCCAGCGCCGCTGGCAACTCCGAATTTGGACAGAGCTGCCTCAATGCGCTGCTGTATGGCGTCGCGCTCACGCAGCATCGCCCTGCTGCGCTGCAGCACCGCGGCAGCCAGGTCGTCCACTGGGTGGTCCTGGTCCTGGTCCTGGTCCTGCATGGGGCCAGGGAGTACAGGAGTGGAGGATGATGCTGAGCGGAAATCGGCGATTAGCGATTAGGAATTTAGGGAAAGAGGAGAGAGGGAGGGGGAGAGAGCTGAGGAAAGGAAGTCGTAGAAAGGCCCCTTCCGCATACACGACACAAAAAAATCTTTTGATCGAAGGCGTGTTGGGAGACCTTCTTTCCCTTTGCGTGTGAGGAAATAAAACCGTCCACCCACCGCGTCGCCGTCCACCGCGCCATCCGACGAGCCTCCTTCACCCTTCATTACCCGGTCGCCGGCCCCTGGCATCTCTGCTCCCTCCCCTTCCTCTTCTTCGTCCTCCTCTTCCTCCTCCTCGTCCTCCGCCAGCACCGTCACCGGCTCCTCTCGGAACCTCCGAACCATCTCAGCCATGCGAATCCGCCGATTGTTCCCTTCACTGTCGCGCTGCGGGAACTGCTGCTGCGGCTGCTCTGGCTGCTGCCTTGGCAGTAGCTTATCATCCGCAGGACGCCCCGAATGATTCTGGTCACGGCGCTGCTGACTGCTGTTGTCTCCGCTGTGGCGCCGCGCTGAGCTTTCTGGACCCGCCTCAGCGGCACCTACCGCGGACTTGGACACCAGCACAGTGGCAGTGGCGGAGGAATCGCGGGAGGCGGCGTGTTGGCGGCGGGAAGACGCAGGGCGCGTGACGTGGGGGGATTGCTGCTGCCGCTGCTGCTGACTCTGGTCGGCTAGGTCTGGCGGCCCGACGGCAAAGGGGAGAGAGAGCCGATGGGGAGGACGGGGGAAATCATATGCATGTGCGTGAGTGTGTGTGTATAGTTTTCGTGGTCCATTATAAATAAAAAACGCAGAGCTGCGGAGGAAAGGTGCAGGGCCAATCGTATGCATGTGCGGTGATGTGCATGTGAAGGTAGAGGGGCTTATTAACAGATCAAAGTAACGCGCTCTCTCTTAAGGTCAAGTTGTAGGCTCCATGCGCTCCAGGTGCACGCGCCTCACGTCATGTTGTAAGTCCAGTCCAGCCAGATCCACATCCAGCCAAAACAAAAAGTTCCCCAGACGACGGCGAACTACCGCCCCAAGACAGACGGTCGCCAGCCCGACTTCAATCCAGCCCAAACCACTGCCGCTATAGCAGCAGCAGTAGCAGCAGCCGCGTACCTCGCGTGTCATCCGCCGAGGCTGCAGCAGCCCAGACGCCAGCCCCTGCGCCATCAGCTCCAGGGGGGGATTTCCCGGCGGAAAGCCGACCTGCAGGCCGCAACTCATCCACTAGCACCTGCTGGTGCTGTTGTTGTTGCTGCTGCTGATGGTGTTGCTGGTAATGGGCCCGCTGTCGTTGCTGCAATGAGGACATATCCAGATCTGATGGATCCGTCTGCGTGCCGTTATCCGGGGAGCGCATCTTCGCAACGGCCGCGGGGCGCATGCCGCCCGCAGATGCGGCAGCTGTAGCAGCGCTGCCTACACCGCCGTTGCCGCCGCCGCGGCGTGCGTCCCGTGGAGGCGAGCCATAGCCCGGTGGTGGTGGCGGAGAAGGCGAGCGGCGGCCGCGCGGGACCTGACCTGCGACGATGAGGACCCACAGCGCATGCGTCCTGACCAGGGGGGTAAAGGAGGAGGGCCCGCCTTCCAGGATGTGCCGTGCCTAAGTGGAGTGCTGTGTATCGCTGAGGAAAGGGAAAAACACAAGGACCCGTCGGGTATAGACCCGTCCTTGATGCAGTGACACGGAGTGTCCGCTACGGGCCCGCAACGGACCCGGGATCCGGGGGCCGCAGGGTTACGTGCAGAGCCCAACAATCCGGTCGGGGGTCCCGTACTCGGAACGTTCTCTTTTCCTAACCATACTTTTTATATTGTTCACGTGGAGTTCGCCTCCACATGTGGGGTGCGGAGGGGGCCACAACTCCCGCTGGGAAGGAAGCCCTTCACAGGTAGGTCACGTGCAGATACACGCAGAGATGGCCCGGCGACATAGCCCGGCGGTCCATGCATGCCAAATTCGCGGTGGGAGAAAAACCGCGTCTCTAGGTCTGTGACGCCGTAGAGGCGTCACAAACGACCTTTTGAAGTGCTTAGATGGAAGAGTTTGTTTGCAATTTGTTCGCATCTAGTGGAGATGGCTTAGCGAGAATGAGAATGAGACGCTTTTTGAGGACTGCGAGGCCGCACCATGGTAGTGTTGGTGTTGGTGGTGTGGTGGTGGTGACTTGGCTGGAGACAGCGAAGTGGACCGGCTCCAGGCGGGGTCCCGCACGGCCCGCTGGTGCTCCTCCGCATAGCTCACCATGCTGACCTGCGAGGCCGCCGATGTTGCGAGGATAACAACAGAAGTGGCGGTTGGTTCGGTTGCGGGTTCGGTAGCGAGGTTCAACAACTCGTACAGGTGTCAGGACAACTTGAAGGTAAAAGTCACCACACCTTCCCGATCGTCAGGTCCGCCCTAAATCGCTAACAGAATGACCGTGTCTACACCGCACTGCACAACGTTTAAGTCCGCCCGTCTGTCCGTCTGTCTCGGACCGTCAGCCATGCCATGCATTTAACGGATAAACCGTTAAAACCGTTAGCTCTTAGCGTTTAAACCGTTAGACTGTAGCTACGCGACGCAGCTGCGCTGCCTCCTTACCAGATCACCTGCGATGGCGCTCGCCGCTATCATCGGGCCCGGCACCACAGCAGCGGGGCTAGCAGCGGCAGCGGGAGAGGCGCGCGCGCGACGAGCCTTCAGCGCCTGTCGCAGGAGAGCAAGCCAGCCGCAGCCAGCAATAAGTGGCGCGCGACACGCAGCATTAACGTCGGATTCCTTTCCTTTTGGAATAGAAAAGGAAATAAGTGTCAACACCGTTGGTCAAAACGGTGGGTTGAACCACGGTTAGTGATGCCCGTACCGGGGGTACATGCGGTCTGGAGTGACCCACCTCCAGCTTCTGACGCCGTAAGTTCGCGGCCCCGGATATATCCGCTGTGGTGTAGGCCGCAGACCCGTGCGTCTCGGCTCCCAAGGGCGCGTGTGCTGTGGAAGCAGCGCCCTGCCTCTGCCCTGTGGGTGAAGTCCCCAGGCGCATATCCTGCTTGTACCCATGCGTTAAGGTGCCCTCGTGCGAAGGCATGCTTTGCTGCTGCGGCGGCGGCTGCTGTAACGCCAGAGGCTGTTGCGACGACCTCTGGGAAGTGGCTTTGCTCCGTTGCCGCGCCCTGTCGCCGGCGGCGGCCGAGGTCCTGTGTGAGTGCTTCGTCGCGGCCGTATCGGTGCCGGCAGCGCCCGTATCTGTTGCAACCGCAGCAGCAGCAGCAGCAGCAGCGGCAGCGGCAACGGTTTGCACTGGAGCTGTCCTAGCTCTCGAGGCTGTCTGTCGTCCTGGCAGCTGCCAGGGCTGCCGCTGCCGCACCTGCTGGTGCTCCTGCTGCTGTACATAGCACTGCTGGTGGTGGTGCTGGGGGTCCCATTGCGTAGATGGCTGCGGACCGCTGCTGCGGCGCATAGTGCCACCCGCCGTCACTGCAGCGCGGCTGCCAGAAGCGACGACGGCAACCGCAGCGGGGGAGTCGTTGCGCGCAATGTCAGATGGCACAACCGTCGCCACTGCCGTGCTCAACTTCACAGCCGTAGCAGCGGTAGGAGCAGCCAGAGCAGGAGCGGCGTGCTGGTAGGTGGCTGTGTTCAAGTCGCGGCCCTGAGCTTGGACAGGTGCGACGTTGGCTGTTACTCGGTTACGGTTGATCGACGTTGTTGGACCAGTCACCGCTGGGGCCGCATTCGTTGGCTTTTCCTTTTCAGGCCGTGAGCTACTGGCGATGAAGCTTGAAGTCCGCCGGCTGTTTACGTTGGATCGCATCTGATTCTGGTGCCCTGCTTGCTGCGGGACTGCAAGTGCCCGAGATGCCGAGGCCGGGACTGTTGAATCGGCAGATGCAGGCTGAGTGGCAGTATTGATGGGTTCTGATGGGGGCGTGATTTGGTGATGCCGATGTTGGTCGTTTCCGTCGTGGGATCGGTGGTGTGCATGAGCGTAGCCTGGAACGCTGTCGTCAGATGCGCCACCGACACGCCATTTGCGGGGAGCTGGTGCAAAGGCTGTGGACGATGGTAGCGTCCGCGGGCCCAGCAGTTGACCATGCCTACGCACCGGCAACCCCTTCAGGAATAAAAGCTGAACACACACATCGAACGCATGACCCAGACGACTCGCACCTTGCATCCGCGTACAACCCATGCGGAACACTTCGGCGACTTCTTAATGCTTCAAACGAATGCAGAAGATCTGGACGGGGCTGTGCATCTGCGCACCATAAAGCACATGCCCGTCAAGGTAACAACGCTGTCGGGCGCAATCTTATGCATAGCCATACCTGCAAACATAAAGTCAAACTCCATATCCCCAGTCTGCGGCGCCGGCCTAACTTTGCCGCTCTGTAACATTCTCGGTGCAGTTTAGCGTGACGACAGCTCCACCACATGTCGGAAGCGTTTGAAATCCATTCGTTGGAGAATTCTATTTCACAATACTATTCACGATTCAGCTCACATGTTTTGGCATGTCGCATGGTCAAAAGCAGTTGAATTTACCTATAACTTTTCTGCCTGACAACCGTTGTTTTCAGGTTACGATGTGCATAATAATCACGATATGCAGCCTCTAAATTCCTAGTTTCCGGGACTAAGCCAAAGCGCAAAGCCAGAACGCTGTCCGGCACGGTCGGCCAGTTGCCTGGCGTACGATAGCATGTGGGGCCAGGGCGCTACGTGTTTAGCAGCGTTCTCGCACACTTCTCACGGGAACTCTGCTCGTGAGTTGACCTGCAACAGAGCAAAATGTTGTCCCCTGCTGCCTGAACGTGGCAGTGAGCGGAGCGCTCTGGCGGCGACGCTGCACAACGGACGAGGACCCGCCCTGTTTGAGCGCCCTTGGCGCCACAATACGCAAGCTGACATCCCATACAGGCGTTCATCGCAACATGGCGCTTTCGACTCGATACGTTCATGCCCAAAAAATAATAACACTGTGCGTCCTTTCCAAATTCCAGCGTCGCAGATGTTTGTCCTTATCACCCTTTCTCTATTCGCGATGCGCTCGCCCGTTCAGCTGCAGCTATGACCCAGATCAGAGACACGCACCCAGACACACAGCGTGCGTGAGAACGAAGAGAAAAGGGTGAGCAACAGAAATTGGGGGAAAGAAAGAGCATCGACAGAGCCTTCACGCAGCGGACCTGGTCGTTAGAAAACTGAGAGGGAAACTGGTTCCGTCGTCTCCGGCATCTGGCTCTCCGGCATCGGGCCCTACCAAAGGAACCCACATCGTGAAACGGCCGCAGTAGCAACAACACCAGTAATAGCAGCAGCAGCAGGAGCAGCTGTAATAGAAGCAGCAGCAGCAGCAGTACCAGTAGCAACAACAGTTGTTTCCATTACCAGCAACAACACCGTTCAGCCAGCACCGGCACCTCCAGGCCTCATCCAGCAGCTCAACAGCAAGCAGGCCAACACATCCGGCGTTCGCCGCAAATTCCCCGGGCATCATCAGGTTCATCAGCTACTTAATAAAACCATATGGAGTCACACGATTTATTTTCGCGCAGCGGCAGCAAACGGACAAACACTGGCCAAGTAAACCACGCCGCTGCGCAGGATGTATCTATGCTACTGCTGCTGCTGCTGCTGCTGCTGCTGCTGCAGTTGATGTTGCTATTGCCATTGCTTCACAGTGCGTCAATCCGACTGCTCTAGATGTTCATCCAGATGGTTATGTTCATATATTTCATCAGACCTTGCCGCTGTACTTGTACGAGCTGTCGTACTCCTTGCGAAGCTGCGCCAGCGCCGCCCGACGCGCCGCACCTGTGCCGCCAGCCGCCGTCGCGGCATCTCCGGACCCTAGTGCCAAGTGCAGGTGCTGCAGCTGTTGCGGCCCAAGACAGCTCATTAGACAAAACGCACCTTGTCGCAGGGCTTCATGCGCCGGCTGGGGCAGCAGCGTGGGCCCCACGCCTGTACTACCGCCGCCAGCGTTGACCAAGCCATAGTGGACGTGGTCCGCGCCGCCGCTGCCGCCGACGGCGTCAGTGAGAGCCGTCGTCGCGTCCGGGATGACCCATGGGTCGCTGCTGTCGTCGGCGTGCATTAGCAACGCCAGGGAGGGCAATGGCGTCGCTGCGTGGACTACGTAATCGGCCAAGAAGTGTGGCGCGTACTTACCCAGGGTCTTAGGGTGCTCCGAAACCGCCTCGTACACGCTCGCCAGCGCCACGGCGCAACGCTCCAGGCCGTCGACGGCGGCGGCTACAGCCGACGCCGACGCTGCCGACGCGCGTAGCTGTATCTGCCGCTGAGCAAGCCGCAGCTCGGATGCCCAAGACGCCAGCCGCAACAGCAATTCACGACAGCCGACCACTAGCAGCGCCGCACAATGCCGTACGGCATTCTCATGATGCCGTACTAAGGCGGCAAAATGGCCGCAGCAAGCGGCGTGCAGGAAGTACAGGTCCGATCCCGTACCACCGCCGCCATTGCCGAACCCTGCGCCACGGGATGCCCCAACTTGCGCATCAGCCGCCGCCGCCGCCGCTGCCGTCGGCAGTAGCGGCTGCGGCCGCAGTAGCGGACACGACGTCACGGCTAGGGTAGCCGACAGCATCCCCGTCACCGCCGGCGGCGCCAGCTGAAACGTCACCTCGCGCGCCGCAATCGACTTGAGGCATCGAATCGCACAACACAACACCACCTCCACCGTCGCCCGAGTCGAAGGAGTACCGCTCTTGCCGTTGCCCTTGCCATGGCAACCCAACGAGTCAGCAGCGGTGGCGACACGCGCCGCCACCGCCGCCAGCAGCTCTGTCAACGTCAACGCCACGCTGGGGCCGTGCGCCGCCAGCAGCTTTGCGACCCGCGGGCCTGAAAGGCACTCCAGAAAGACAAGCAAGCACTGCAGCGACGGAACGAGCTCCTGCTGCTGCTGATACTCCTCCTGCTCCTGCTGCTGCTGCTGCTGCAGCTGCTGCTGCAGCTGCTCCCTGGACGGCGACTGTACGGCTCCGCTAAAGGGCTCCATAAGGCCCTCCGGAAGCCGGAGACGAGACAGCAGATCACGCAGTAGCGCTGCCAGTTGGCCTCTGTTGCAGCGTGCCAATGCCGCTCTGAGGGTGTGTGTGTGTGTGTGTGTGAAGGGGGGGAGCCGGGGGGGGTTTTGGGTGTGTGAGGAGGGGTGGGGTGGGGTGGGATGTAGCCCGATCATGTGCATGCGAGGGAGAGGGGAGAGGAATGGAATCACGGCTTCGAGGGCTGTTACGGGGGCCGTTGAGCAAGCAAGTCAATCGCCGAAAGGGGCAGAGGGGGGGTGAAAGGCGGAGGGGGAGAGAGGGAGGGGAGGGAAAGAAAGAAACACAAGAGGCTGAGGGAACGGGAAAAAAGAACACATCACGAAGAGCACCATGCACCATGGACCACCAACACCACCACCACCACCACCACCACCAACAACAACAACACCAACACCAACACCAACACCACTACCACTACTATCATCACCAACAACAACATCAACATATCGCCACCACCACCACCACCAATAACATGATCACGTGTACATATCACGGCCCCTCCCGGCTAGCTTCTCAAGACGATGTGATGATGTCCCGATGGAAACGTACGAATAAGCAAACGGAGTACGACTGCCGTACACTCACCTGAAGCAGCCAAGCAGGGAGCTTCGGCAGTGGTATGCGGCACCTGGTGAGACGTCGCCATCACCATCATCATCGTCATCGCCATCGCCATCGCCATCATCATCATCATCATCACGATGGCGGCACAATGCATGGCGGCAAGTTATGGCACTGGGTTGCGAGCTGCTGCTGCTTACCATAAGAATTACGTTTAACTTAAAATTAGTAACGCATTGTCTGTCAGTCTGTCAGTCTGTGCAATAAGGTGGCCCCAGAATCAATGAAAGGGTGCCGGATATCGTTATACATTATTAATGACGAGTTCGTCTTCCGTACTAATGGCCCAACGAAAAACCAACCGTACAACTGTCATTAACCAACACTTACTATTTGAATGCAGGTCCGCAAGCAGCACGCCCCACAGATTGCTCGTCCTGGCCGTCGTGACATTTCGGAGACACACGTGTACGTATGTATGTATGTATGTATGTATGTATGTATGTATGTATGTATGTATGTATGTATGTATGTATGTATGTATGTATGTATGTATGTATGTATGTATGTATGTGTGTACGTGTGTGTGCGCGAGGGTGGGGTGAGTAAGGTAAGGAAAGAGAAAAACGCCGTGAGAGCAAGAGATGCCTCGATTTGGAGAAGAGGGTTTCGGCCATGTTGCATGTACGGCAGAATGCGTGTACGGCAGCTGGCAGCAGCGGCGATATCGGCAACTGTTGGTTTGAATACACGGACGGGGGAGGGCAGCGGGGCGGATTTTTCAACAAATCCCCCATGTCGATTTACTTTACTGTAATTTCCACGGGGGCAGCCGTATTGGGGGCTTTTTGGCGCTCATCTTTTTGAGGCTCTAAGTTCTTTCAGAAAAGTAAAATGCATTCAGAACTGAACGGCAACCGATGCCGTGCAGTGGGCAATGCGTCTAATCCGGGGCCCTAATGCCCTTTCAGGACTACACAGCGTACGACACACGCAATAAGGTACGACACATATGACTGACGGACTGACGGACTGACGGACCATCACACGAACGGGGGACAAACACAGCGGGACGGCTCTCTTCAACAAATCTCACCCACCTCGCGTAGCAAAAACGTTCTGGAGGTGCCGTACATGCCAATAAAGCCTGCTGTACGGCAACCAACAGAGCCAGCAACTCATCGGACAGCGACGCGCCAGCGTGCGACATGTCATTGCTGGCGGCGGCGGCGGTGGCGCTACCGGCGCCGACACCTCGACGGCGGCCGCCGCGGCCTAACGCCGGCAGCCACGTGGCGATGCCGTACATCAACGCCACGCAGTGTTCCAGCGGTTCCGCAGCAATGGCGGCTCCATCGCTTCTGCTCGTCCCGACGGACCCGACGGAGGATGTGCCGTACAGACGCCGCTCCGCCGCAACCCAGCGACTAGCTCTCAGCAGGAGCTCCGGCAGCAATCCAGCATCCACAGGTATTTGCATGTTCCCGCCGCCGCCGCCGCCGCGGTAGCCAGCGCGGGTGGCTGTCGCTCCTTCCTGGCACGAAACCCCTCCTCCTGCTGCAGCGCCGGCAGCCGCTGTAGCCGTAGCAGTAGCCACCGTATCGGCAAGCTGTAGCAATTGGCCCTGACAGCCAGCCACACATAACGCGCCGCGAAGGAGGTGCAAAGATCGCAGCGACGCCGCCCCAACTGTTGCTGTTGCTGCTAACGACGCTCCGTCGGCCGTCGCGGCTGTAGCAGTAGCAACAGCAGCAGCAGCAGTAGCAGCAGCAGTAGCAGCAGCTTCGTCCGCTGCCGCACCCAAATGTGCGGAGGATGACAACAGTCTCCCTGACCGCGCCGCCAACCGAGCGAGGGCCTTACGCATCGGAGCTGATGCTGCGGTGCTGCTACAGCCGCCGCTACCGCCATCAGCGCCGGCACTGCTGCTACTGCCGCCCGCCTTGCAGGCTGCTGCAATCACAGCTGCCGCTTCTGCAGCTGCGAGGCTTAGCCTGCAGAGGAGCGGCACGCTGGTGCTGCTGCTGCCGCCAGATGTAGCGGCGGGTGTACATTCGGCTTGCCGTAATAGCTGATCCGCAAGCCTGAGGCGCGCGACGACCTGTGCCGTCCGGCCCGTCGGCGGCGCATCGTCGGATTTCGGGAGGGAGGACGACCCGTCGTCGCGCGCCGTCAACAGCGCCGTTAGTAATCTTCCGCTGTCGTACACTACCTCCATTTTCAGCGCGGGGAGCAGGACAGCGGCAGGGTCAGCGGCGATGACGCCGTCGAGCGCCTCCGCCTCCGCGACCAGCAGTCGACACACCCGCACCAGCCAAACGACCCGCGGGGGGATGTAGAGGTCCTCCGCCGCCACAGCGCTGCTGTCATCGACGTCCTCCTCCTCCTCCTCGTCCTCCTCATCCTCGCCGCCATCCTCGCCGCCACTGAGCGCCAAACCACAGAAGGCGCCGCCGCCGCCGCCATCGCTGCCGTACGCAACGCTGAGACGTTGCCAGGCACGCAGGCAGGCCAACACCGTCCTCAGCACCTCGCAACGTACCCGCTGAAGCATGCCACGGTTATGCCTTCGGGATTGCTGCTGCTGCTGCTGCTGCTGCTCAGCTGGCGGCTGCCGGTGCAGCAAAAGGAGCATGTCCACTGCGGCAGCTGTCGCCGCCGTCACCTGCCGTACCATTGCCTCTCGGGCCTTGCGCGGAACCAGCTCGAGGTAAAACTTGTCGCACAAGAATGCCAAGAGGGAGCGCAGCGCCGACGCCACCGCGTCGAAGCCGTCAGCAGTAGCGCCGTCAGCGCCTGCCGGAATAATACCTTCCGATACGGCGCCGACGTCGTCACGGCTCCAGTTCGCTAAGCTCCTCCAAACGTAATCATCATCATCATCATTCAAAGATTTAGCTTGCTGTGTCAAGAGCCGTGCCAGCACTTTCGAGGATGATGACACCCTGTTGCCGTCGCCGCATTCGTTCCCGGCAGTATCATCGTCGTCGTCGCCATCACCGGCATCGCACCCCGTCGGTTGGACCGCCGCCGCCGACGACGCCGCGGCGGCGGCGGCGGCAAGCAACGCATCGAGGCGCGCCGCAACATACGCGGCGGCAGCCTCTCTCTCCTCCACCCCTGCTCCTGCTCCGGCCTTTTTCCTGGCAGCTTTCTTAGCACTGCGCTTTCTTTTCTCTGAGCCGTCACCGTCACCAAACGAGGTGGCGTCCGAGACAGCCATCGCCGCGGCGGCGACAGCCTGCCGTACTTCCGTCGCCATGGCGCACAGCGCACTAGCCGCCGTCGCCATCCAGGCGTACGGCAGCGCCTGCCGTACCCCAGGCAAACTTTGGAATTCCAACAGGCACAAGCTGGCGGCAATACTTGGCTGCAGCTGTCGCAACACGACGCCGTCCCCGTCGCCGCCGCTAGCCACACAGCCCTGGCACGCCGCCGTCAGCGCCATCTGCAGCACCTCCGTCAGTGCCGTACGCTCCGCCCATGGCGCGATGCTTCCCATGAGTGCAAGGACATCGCGCCAGGCGGCACCCGCAAGTGGCGCCGAAAAAGCATAGGCGACGGCGTTGCCTCCTCGGCAGACTTGCCTCGCCGCCGTACTTGCCGCCGCCGCTGCCGAGCGGCCGCCGCCGCCAGCAATACAACCAGCCGCCGTAGCAGCTTTGGTTGAAAGTGGCGTTAGCATCAGATTTGCCAGCAAACGCACCTCTTGTTCCTCCTCCTCCTCCTCCTCCTCATCCAACCCCTCTTCTTCCTCGGCCCTTTCTGCCGTCGCTGCACCCTTAACCAGCCCGTCGACTGGGGGCCCCGCCGCCTGACTGGCCGGCCCTTCACCGCCAGCGGACTTTCGTCGCGCAGCTGCTGCATCCACCCTTGATTTGCCGCCGCCGTCCCCAAGGCCTTGCGCAGAGGCTCTGCCGTACATGTGCGGGCAGTCGTGGCGGCGCCGCAGCAGGCGCTCGTGAAGCACCTGCAGACGGTGGCCTAGGCACCTGCAACCAGGTAACAGTATTCCATTAGGTGTGATCGTTGTGTTTCATGCAATTATATAAGAAGTCGTACAGCATTCATACAGCATACAAACATACATACGTACACACATACATACAGGTCGCCTACCTATGAATAGCCTTGGATAGCTCCACCGCCGCCCAACCAGCGCCGGCAGTAGCCGCCGCCGCTGCCGCCGCCGCTCCGGAACCCGCCGTACCGTGTCCTCCCTGCCCGCCGGCGGCGGCCCCGCCCTCCGCCAGCGCCAGCTGCGCCAGACCCGGCAGCGGGCCCGTGCCGTACGGCTGGGTGGCGCCGGCGTTTTTGAGGGCCTTACGGAGGCGGCGGAGCTCGGAGTCAACACCGCCGTCGACGTCGCTGGTTGCGGTAATACCGCCGTCCGCCGCCGCTGCACTGGCAGCTCGTACCGCGTACGTCAGCGCCGGCGCGAAGTAACCGCCCGGTGGACTATGTCGGGACTTGTACGACACCGTCTGATGTCGCTGCTGCTGCTGCTGATGTTCCTGTCGCCCGGAAACGCCCCGGACCCGAATGGGTGGTTGGACAGCGTTAGTTGGTCAACGGTTGTTAGGCAACGTTAGTTGTAAGTTATATCTGTTCTATGTGAACAATTGAATGGAAGGAGCGGGCGTGCCTTGGAGATGCCTTGACGTGAAGCTTCCTCTCGAAAGCGAAAACACGGGCGACGGGCTCCGGGGCACGGTGACGGCACGGTGACGGCGCGGTGACGGCACGGTGACGGCACGGGGAACAGTACACAAGAACACCATCCTGTCTTGTGCAAGCGTTTCCCCTGCTTCCCTTCTTACCCGTCGGGACCAGGGCGATATGTCCTGATCAGGCAGCGCCGGGACCTCGGGGTGAAGCCCCGCGCAAACGGAATTCGTCCGTACGACAGCGCCGTACACACGCAGGAGCATAGCAAGCCGGGCCGTGTGGAGCCGCAGTGTGGCCACCGCCGCCGCCGCCGCCGCCACCGTCGTGGCGTCCTCGGCTTCGCCGTCGGCCGCCGCTGACGCCGCAGCGCGAAGCGACTTGCAGTACTGCCGCATCGAGGACAGCAGCGGCGGCGACAGCGCCGTCAGCAGCCGTACATTCGCCTTCGCCACTGGCATGGCCGTTGCCAGGTCCAGTCGCAACGCCGAAAGTAGGGTGTCGTACAGTGCGCCGGTGGCGAGGAATAGATCCGCCGCCGCCGCTGCCGACGCGGAGTCCGATACACGCATCCGTACCTCAACCCCACCACACCAGGCTTGCAGGTCAGCCGTAACCCAGTCGATCATCGCCGGGACTTGACCTGCAGCCACAAAGCACGCGAATCACATGACATACATATAGAGGTTGGCAGGCGGCTCTGGCAGAGGTTAAGGCCTGACTTCTGCTCCCGGCCGGCCCGGGTTCAAATCCGCCTGAATACATTCTGAAGTCGGATGGGGTGGCGGATTAGGGTGCCCCTCTAGCAGGGGACAGCAGGGACTGCCCGGGAAAGGGGGCCGCTGGCGAAGTTAACCAACCTGTAACAACAAACATACAGAATCACAAGAACCGCAAGAACCGCACGAGGAGGACATAAGGCGCGATAGATAGCCCACGACACAAGGCGTACCTGAGGGAACAGAAGCTATGGCCTGGCGGATTTCCGCCAGCACCTCCGGCCGTACAAGCAGCGCCGCCGCCACTGCGGCGCCGTCGCCAGCACCGCCAGCGGTGCTGTGGTGACCGCTGTCCTCACCGCTGCCGCTGCCGCACATGCGCCGCATCGCGGCGCCTAGAGACTCCAACAACGATTGCAACTGACGAAGCTCCGAAAACGCCCGGAGGGTGCGCTGCAGTACGGCGGCAGCAGTGGCGGCGGCCGACGCGGCGGATGTATCAGCGTCTGTCACCGCCGCCAACGCCGCCGTGGCATCGGAGTCAGACGGGCCACCGGCAGCGGTGCGCCACAACAGTGACCAGATTCCCTCCAGATGGGGCGTGAGAACCCTACACGTGTATGTTTGTTTGTATGTTTGTTTGTATGTATGCATGTATGTATCTATATATGTATCTATATATGTATGTATGTATGTATGTATGTATGTATGTATGTATGTATGCGGATGTCGACGCCAGGGTTTGGTACGACAACTGACAATGGCACGACGACGCTTACGAGGAAACCACTGAACACTGAAGAAAGGAAATAGCATTGACGAAGGGCGAGGGGTCCGAAGACCCCTTTTGAAGAGGAAAAAAAAAATTAAAAAACCAAAAACCGAAGAACAAACCAAACAACCAGGACTGCTGTTGTGACAAAGATCAAAAGGCGACAAAATAGTTTTTTTCCCTTCCCTACAAGGCACACTCACGGGGGGGCGGCCGTTCGGGACCACTTGTGGTGTTTGGGACCACTTTCCGAACCACGTGGATCTCACGCACCTGTGATCCAGATCCAGTACGGCACACAACGCCAGGGAGGTGCTCATGGAGCCCAACGATCCGTACGGCACACGGCCGCAACCGTCCTCCACAGCTTCACCGCCGTCAACAACAGCCGCCGCAGCTGCCCGTGCTGCTTTCCGCTTTGCTTTGGGCGTCCTAGTATCCTCAACAGGTTCCACAACAGGCCGCCGCAGCCGTGGCGGCGGCGCCGCCGCCGTCAGCGATCCTTCGTCCGCCGCCAGTAAGCGCCCCGCAACGACCGCCAGTACGGCACAATGTGCTCCGGTAAGGTCTCGCGTGGGCTGATACGCGCCGGCGGCCTGTGTACGGCAGAGCGAGGAGGGTGACGTCTCACCCCGGGAGGCTTTTGGGCGGTGCGGAGGGTGGCGGCGGGAGCAGAGCTCATCACACCATCATGGGGGTTTTGGTGCGGTACCTGCAGGCCAGAGCGGTTTCCCGTGACGAGGCGACGGCACACGGGAGATACTGTAGGGTGTGTGCGCGCGCGTGTGTGTATGTGTGTGTGCGTGTGTTGGGGGGGGAGGAGGATGGCACCGGGTGACACTGGGGCTGCGACTGGGAGTGGCGTGGGGTGGCGTGTGGCGTTGCCGACTTTTATGGGGTGTATGGCACGTATGGACATCACCCCCTATATGCCCCTATCATCTTGACGCGGCGCACGGGGCAGGAACGGTTGTGCAGGGGGAGGTGCGTGCGAGGGGGAGGTGTTTCCGGTAGCGGCGCACACAAAAGGAGGCTTCACGCGCCCAAGCCAAAGTCCGCCAGCGCCACCCTAGCCGCCACGCAAAGCCCTAGCCGCTACCAGCCGGCTAGCGGACCCACCCGGCCAGCAGACAGAAGACCGGCCAGGGCCAGCCGTCGCCATGGAGCCCCTCCGGTAACGGTGCCGTACGGCATCGCTGGCAGCGGCGGCGGCGCCGCCGCTGTAGCCGTTACGGCCGTCCCGGTGGCCGCGATCTTGCGCTTCTTGGCCAGGTGCCCCGTTGCGATGTCGGCTGAGCTGCTGCCGTCAGCCGCTGATGGGGTCGACGGCGGCGGCTGTAGCAGCATGTACGACAGGACCGCCATGCAGTTGAACTCTGCCGCCATCAGGGCTTTATACGACGGCGCCGTAACGATAGATGTACCGTCCTCAACGGCTCCGGGACCATTTGCCGTCGCGGCGGCATTGTCAGTGCGCTTGCCTTTGCTGCCACCGCCGCCGCCAGATCCTGTCACCGCCGCCGCCGCTGCGGCATCGAATGCGACGGTTCGCCGAAGACGACCGATAGCGTTACAGAACGCCCTCAACAGCCACGGCAACCCCAACATCAGTACGGCATCCCTCGTCCTTCCGCCAGCGAGGCCGTTGCCACCACGGCTTCGGTCCAACCCGACGCTGGCGCTGCTGCTACAGCCAGCTACAGCCTTCGCGAGGACCTGCAAATGCAAGTACGGTATCAGGCCGCTGCGGTAATGTGCCAGGAGGGGGGGGGTGATGCACCCACCCAGCGTACGACGTAGGAGGGACGGCCCCCAAGTACGGCAACGACAGATAAAGCAGTTAAATATAATAAACACCGAAGTAACAATAATAATATCATTAATAACAATAATAAATAATAATACCCCATGTCCGGTAGTGCCCCTGGATGATCAGCCGAGGCGCCTTGTACAGCAGGCCTACCACCATGTCGTACCGCAGCCCAGGCCGAGCTCGTACACCAAACTACCACCATCTGGTACCTCCCCTGCTCCCTACCTGTAGCAGCTGCCCGTGGTAGCTGCGACCCGCCACGTCCCAAAAGTCCAGCGGCAGTAGCAGCGACGGTGACGGTGACGTCGACGGCGACACCTTCAGCCCCCCGGCCTCACCGCCTGAAGCTCCCACCGCCGCTGCTACTGCCGCCGCCGCCTCTTCGGGCGAGGAAGCCGCCGCGGCCGCGGCCGCCGCCTCCGCCGTCGTACCAGGGCCGGCGGCGGCGACCGCGGCGGCAGTAGCAGCACCGACCGGCCGGCTGGGTTCGACGTTTGCCTCAGCCGCGGCAGTAGTCAACAGTACGGAGAACAGCTGCGGAGGGCCCCCGCGCCATACATACGTACGTACGGGGCCGTGGAGCGGATTCCGCATGTTCCGAAGGTACAGGGTGCGAGACAGACAGTCATGACACAGGGCGACTGAGCTTGAGGATTTGGCCGGACAGCATGGGAGGTGGCTGAGGAAGAATCATACGATTATTATATATTACGGTGCTAATCATGAAGACAAGAACAAGAAGAAGAAAAATAAAAACATGAAGTTTAAAGAGGTTCATTTTGGGTGGACATATTAAAAAACAACAACAAGCGCTGCGCATCTCCTCCCTGTCCTCCCCCATTCCCCTGGGGTTTAAAAATTGCCGGCTGCTGTGGCTGCTATTGATACTGCTGCTGTTGCTACTGCTGCTGTTGCTACTGCTACTGTTGCTACTGCTGCTGTTGCTACTGCTGTTGCTACTGCTGCTGTTGCTACTGCGTTCCTGATAATATTTTCTGAGAAGCAGAGGGAAGATGCCGCGTGGTGGTGGTGGGGAGAGGCTGCGCACGTGTGTGTGTCTGTGTGTATGTGTGAAGATGAAGAAAAGAAAGAAGACCTCATCCGCGAAGTCCCTGTCCTATCGATGTTTTAGAGGCAAAAAGTGCATTGCCGTACCTCCGCCAGTGCGCCCACGTGGGCCTCCTGAAACAGTACGGAAGCCAGAAGCTGCTGCGCCGCGCGGCCAAGCTCCGTCATCGCCGCCGCCGCCTCAGCAGTAGCAGCAGCAGCAGCAATGGACCCCTGGTGATGATGACATCCCAACGCTGCGGCTGCCGTACTCGCCGTACTTCCCCCCACTGCCGGCCCCAGTACCATTTTCAGCGTCGTTTCCAAAGCTTCGTGAGGGTGCGATACTTCCAGAAGTGGCAACACCAGATCCGGCACGAAAGCTCTCCAGACCTTTTTGGGCGTCGGATGGCTCTGCACTGACCCATGGGTCGCTTGCACCACAGCGCCGCACAAGCGGGCCCACTCCGAAACCATTATGGGAGACGGGCCTGTGTCTTCTGTCGCCTGAACGTCCACGGGAGAGACCGCAGCAGCAGCAGCAGTGCGTTCGGCGGCCGGCGTTAAGTCGCCGCCGCCGTTTGCCGCAGCTTTGGCGGCTGGATGCGATGGTGGCTGCGGCGCCGCCGCGCGTCCTTTCTTACCGCGCTGCTTCTCTGCATCTGCGTTTGCCTCCCCGGCGTTGGCGGCTGCAGTGTTGCCAGCGGCTCCGGCGCCGTCGCGCCACGGCCGTACATCCAGCAGCGCCGTTAGCAGCGCCATGCACTGCTCCAGAGACGGCCGCATCACGCCGCCGCCGCCGCGTCCGCCGCCAGCTGCCGTCGCCGCCGGCAGCAGTAGCACCCGAAGGCAACGGTGTATCGTGCGACACAGCTCCCCCGCCAATGGGCCCCGGGATGCCGCCGGTGCCACCATCAAACCGGCATCACCCGCGGAGGCCTCCCCAGTTTGAGTGCCAGCTCCTGTCTCTCTGTCTGTCACCACCACCACCGCCGCAGTCGCCTTCGGAGTGGGTGCCAGCGACTGAGGAGCCGGCAGAGCGAAAGCCAGGCGGATGCACGCCGCGGCGCTTGCCAAGAGGGATCCTGGGACGCTGCCCCCGGGAGCACCCGCTAGCGACAGCACTGCCGCGCCGTTCCTTCCATTTACGGCACCAGCACCCCTACCAGCGCCACCAGCGCCACCCGCGAGACCGACCCGTGGGTCTCCTTCTAGCAGCAGCTGGAGGAGCTGCCATAGTCGCAGGGCCGAGGCGAGGAAGGCCGGTCGGGGGTCCTGAGCAGCAGGATTATCCTAGGGCGGGGGGGGGCAGGATGGGAGAAGTTGGAAAAAGGTATTCCTGTGTGTTAGAATTTAAGCATGCAAAAAGATGTGGGTCAGTGCAGGACGAGCCAATGCAGAGGCTCAGGTGATGACCTGCTGGAGTTAGGAGCAGGGGAAGGAAGCTGAGCAGCGCAGGGCGCATTTTTTCGTGTAAGCGGGATGGCCAGGGGTTGACTGTGCTGTATGCCGGGCTGTTTGAATGAATCTGCAAGGGAGAGGCGTTGGGGTTCGTTGCGATTTCGGCAGCAGGTAAGGCGTTAAGACGTGGCCTACCTGGACTGTGGTGCGCAGCGGCGGCTTCAACTTCAGGAGGCACGAGACGGTCCATTCGATTACAGCGCGGCTGTAATGTGCAAGCACCGGGAGAGGAGGGTCATCGGCACGCGGTGGGAAGGAGGATGCGGCAGTGAGCAAGTCTTGAGCCAGACCCGCCGCAACCGCAACTTTCCTGTGGGGCGTAAAAATGGATGACCCATAAGCGATGTGTATTGACTCAAGCTCGCGCAATTGCGGCGGCGGAAGACCTTGGAGATGCCTTTTCGACACGGTAAACTAGTTTTTAATATCCAACCGTCGTAGATTAGTGGTTCATGTGGGCATTACAGAGGTTTCACTGTGGAAAAACTTGCCTTTCGTCGATTTGCGAAGCCGGCGAACCGAGCAAGCGGAGGCGTGCTGAAATGGACTGGCCATCGTGCAATTCCGCCTGCATCATAGCGTTTTGAACCCAAGATCCACCTTGTGTGCCTGGCACCAAGCTGGAACCGTCTATTGCTTCATCCCCAAACCCCAGTATATGCAAGCCAGCAAATTGCACACAGATACATGATTGTAACGTTTTCTTGCATCCAATTTTGCTTCAAGCAAGAACTGTGAGTTACTAAAGGGGAAATGACAGTTGGCTCCGGATCCCAGTCAGTTGACAGAAACGGTAATGCTGAAGCTCTATGGAAATCCTTCGATGCATAGCCTCTTGTTTACAATAGAGTAGCTTCGGCCCTATGAGTTTGCAAGTGAACGGATAACATAAGTGTGCTGCGTACAGTCTTCGATGCTTCGCACAACAATATGTTCTAACAATTCAGGACACCATGTTTAAGCTATTTGATGTATAGAAGCATTTTTTGGATCCTAAGCAACGTGGGTCAAAGTCGGGTCAATGGCTACCCCCGAACCGGTACCTCGTTAACGCCTTTTGCATGTTGAATTGAACGTTATCATTTCTCTTATGAACTCGTAAGCAGTAATTTATCTACGGCGCTTGAGCGACCGAATTGCCGTCTGGAGCCAACCAGAGCGAGCTTGAATTAAGCGTCACAACCCGACAGAATTTTTCATAGCAGGTTGATTCGCATAAAGCATACATATAATCTAGGACCAAAATGCTGGGAAGAAACGAGCGCTCTGGACCTCGGCCTCCGCCAACCAGCGATGTCGTCGTCCTCGATAAACAACTTGAGCAGGGGGATGTTGAGGTGCGCGCAATCCAACCGCCAAAGCTCCTCAAATCCCTGATGTGGCATGACATGCCACCTGAGACGGTTCTTCCATTCCTTGGCTACTGCCAACCGGAACCGCAGGTGAACGCAACCACCATGAGCCGCGACGACCTGATGACCTGGTCAAAGAAGCTAAGGGAAAACGCACACCGAGTCAAGAGCCTGCGGATTCTTTGCGTTCCAAGGTACAGAAGCTCTCGTCTTGCTGATACCTTTCACGTAGCACAATTGGACCATCCATGCCCCTGTACCGTCTCCATCCCCGCAACCAGGGCCAAACGGTTCTCACCCTTTCGATGCGGCTGCCTTCACCTTCTTCCTTCCTTCCAACCCCAACCCTGCGCCCCTTCCTCCCTTCCCTAGCCCCGCCGACTATGTAACGGGCGCCTGCACCCCAGCCGCCCACATGCCAACCTACCACGTAGACCGGCGCCATCCCCCCTCTTATTCCCGGGGGCCTCTTAAGCTCAACCGTTTTCACGTTCAATAGCACTCGATTAGCATCTGCACTCATCTTCCATCTTCACAAATCCAAATGTCCCCAAACCGCTCCAACCGGGGCACCATCAGGGGTACCTTGTGGTCGCAATACCACTACGGCCAGCTACAGTCCTACAGCGGCGGCCAGCTCATGTACCTGACGCAGGAGCATAGGATAGGTGTCAAGATCGCATCGGCCAATGCACAGCACCACCTGTAAGGCTGTGCGCTGAGAATCTTTTTCCTTGTATGTCTGTTTTGCCTCTCTGGTGTGCTTTCATCCCACCCCTTTTCGCTACCGGCCGCTTGCTACCTCTGCCTCTTTTCTGTCCCTATTTGCCTGCCTTCCTGTCTGTCTGCGTGTCTGTTTGTCCGTCTGTCTCTCTACCTGTCCGCCTGCCCGTCTGCCCCTGGCTGTCTGACACTGTCTTCCTGTCTCTGATCTATGTGCGTGCCGTAATACCTCTCTCCATCGCCGTACGTTACCATATACAGCACTGTTGCGAACCAGTGGCCAGTTAGTTACCTTCGGTGGATTCCAGCACAGCAGAGTAGACTGGAAATGGAAATGCGCAAACATACATGAAAGAACTCGAACCGCAGCCGCCAAACACATTATAACTCCCCTCTGGTGCCCCATCACTAACACCGAAACCTCCTACCCCCTCGCAGCGTCCGCATGGCGTTGTGCAAGGCCTTATGTGCCGTGCTGCGGAGAGCACCTGTGGAGGAGCTAGTACTGGGGCTGGTGAGCCGATTGCCGGACGGGTCCGTGGAGGCCGGGCTGGGCCGCGTGCGTGTATATGTATGTATGTATGTGTGTGTTAAAGGATAGAGGGGGAAAAAGACGAACCACGTGTGCGAGTGAAGCTGCTGCCAAGGAAAGAGTGCTGCGGCAGATGTACAGTAAGCAGAACTGACCAGTCGGCGGTTTTGGAGAAGCAGTCCTCGCGATGATGTAGTGATGACGACCACGGAACACTACCTACCTACCTAGCTAGCCGCCAGGACTAAAATAAGAGGGTGGAAGGAGAGGCGGGGAGAGTTGGAGTTGGAATTTGGAGTTGGGGATTTGGAAAGTAAGGGCCACTGGAAGCGGTGACTAGGAAGGGGGGTTGGATCCGGATTGGCACTGTCCCGGTACTGTCGGACCCCGTTTCCATTCACTCCCACCTCCCCGCTTCCCTTCCCCCCACACTCTTTCTTCTTTCTTCCCTTCCCTTTTGTTCAGCGCCTGAGTGAGAGCGGCTGCACCATGTTGTCTGAGGCCCTGGCCACCAACTCCACCCTGAAGAGACTCAGCTTCGCGGGGAGCCATATGGGAGATGAACGAGTCCGGGTGAGTGCCGTGGGTGTATTTAGGTGTTATTTGGAGGGGATATGTGCATGAGTGCCCGTGTCTATATATGTACATTTGTACATACATACATACATACATACATACATACATACATACATATATACATACATGCATATCACCCCGGGGAAAGCTGCAGGCTGTTGGGAAAGGATTGGTAGCGATGAGTAAGTCGCTTGGGAGCTGTGTCTATGGTTGGGTCTTGTTTCGCTGCCTGGATGTGTCCCTTCCTTGCTATTGCCCCTTCCTTCATTTTACACCCCCATCCGCCCTCTGCCCTACCCTTTCCCTTTCTTCTCTTCTTTTCCTTCTTCTTCTTCTTCTTCTCCGTCATCTCCTCAAACCACCCTCTTTTCACCTTTTCCCCCGTCTCGTGATCAGTGGCTCAAGCCCGGTCTGATCGGCAACAACACTTTGGAGGAGCTGGACCTCACCGCCTGCAACCTAACGGATGCGGCGGCCAGGGATGTGGCGGCCGTGATAAAGGTAAAGACGAGAGGTTGACAGAGGAGGAGGTGTGAGGGAGGGAACGGGGGGGGAAATGCAGAGGAGGAGGAGGCTGCGAGGGTGAGAAGATGTAAAGGGGCCGGCAGAACAGGGCGGACTTCCAACTTTACCAACTGGTGCGCGACAGACCGAGAACCCTAAGTCCCTGCCCAACTACCCCCTGGGCCCCCTACGAACCTAACCTGAACCCCCCTACCTCAGGCCCATGTAGATCGCCGGTTGAACCTGGCCTTCGACGAGCAGCTGCGGCACTACCCCGACACCTCGCTACCCCGGCATAGGGCCCATCTGGAGCATCATGCCCAGTTGCGGCTCATAGCCAGGCAGGTGGATCAGGCGGCCGGGGGGCTGTTGCACTTGGAGCTGGCGGAGAACAAGGTAAGGTCGGGTGGGGGCACGGGTTGGGGGGGGGAGAAGACGAACCACGAACGAGTGAAGCTGCCGGGGGGGGGTGAACCTCAGAGGGGTGGTATGGTGGTGGTGGTGGTGGTGGTGGTGTGCAGGATTGGATGGAATGCTTGGGAGGTGTATTGGGGAGGGCGATCGTGGTGGTGATGGTGGTGGTGGTGGTGGAGGAGGAGCTGGAAGCAAACAAACAAGAGGTTTTGCTGCGGTTGGGTTGGGACCTGGGCGACCGGCTGTGGGGCTGGGTAGGCCTGGGTGCAGAATTTATCCGGTGCGAGGAGATTAGGGAGGCTTTTATACCACAGTGGCATGCAGTGTCAGGCAGAGAGACAGACATAAAAACATACATACAAATATACATACATATGCACATACCCGTTCTGCCAGGCAGTCGGCCCAAGCCACCAGGCCCTTGCGCCGCCCCATTGCGGCCGGCCCAACGTACGCGTACCCTCGCCCCTGGCCCCTGGCCCTCTTACTTTTTTCCCTTCTCGCTCCGGACCTGTGGATTCCAGCTGACAGACCATGGCGTACGGGCCCTATGCACGGCTCTATCGTACGACCGACGGCTCATCTTTCTCAGCTTGCGTGCCAACCAGCTGACTGCCGCGGCGGAGGCTGAGCTCATTCCCCTGATGAAGGAGCACCAGGCGCTGCTCCGAGTGGACCTCAGACAGAATACGGACCCCCGGTTGGGAATTCTCAAGGCGAGGGGGGAAGAAGCCAGGGGGCGACTGAGGGGAGAGCGCAGGGCTGGGGGGAAGACATGCAAAGATGATGGTGCAAGGGAATTACATAAGGTATCAAAAAGCAACAAAGAGGGTCAAGTTCGGGACCTCGGGCGCCTCCAAACATGGCTCTGATACCCTAAACCCTCAGTCCCGTCTCTCAAGCCGTTTTTACGGGTTTCCCCACCCCACCCCTCCCCACCTCGCCCCACCTCGTCCCCTGCAGCTCAAGCGGCGTATCGCTCCTCGTGTGTTTTCCGCCGCTCTGGGCTTCCAGCCTAACCCGTCTGCCCCCGCCCTCCACTCGCCCTCCCGGACGGACACCAGCATGCCCATGTGGGCCCTACGGGAGGTGGGTTTGGGGAGGAGAGGGGGAAAGACGAACCACGAATGAGTGAAGCTGCTGCCCAGGAAAGAGTGTACAAGAAGCAGAACCGACTGGGGTTGGGGAGGGGGGGATATAAGGGGAAGGGGGAAGGCCCTGGCGAACAGAAGGCAACGAGGAGACGGACGGGCGAGGCGGAGAAGATATGATGAATGCAGGAGACGTCCTGGATGATGCCGTTGCTAATGTACACCCCAACTTACACCCCCAACAACTTCAATGTTGGGTTGCTATAAAAACCGCAAAACCGCAACAACCGCAACTACGCCAACCGCTAACGGTCAACCACTTTGTCTGTGTTTGCGTCTCCGCAGGAGCTTCCAGATTCCATAGGTCCAACCCCGTTGGTGACCCCGCGACATGCGAGCCTTGCGGCGCCCAGCTCACCTGGTCACATGTCCACGGTTAGCTGGGGCGACAGGCACCTGCTCGCACGTGGCGCGCCCAGCTCGCACGCTGGCGTTGATGGTGGCGATGGCGGCCGCAGCCGCAGCCGAAACGATGGCAAGGGCAACGGCAACGGCAGGAGCGGCAACAAGGCGGAATTGCTGCTACAGCGGGCAAGTAGCGTCGACCGGCGCCGACCACCCGACGTCGGTGAAAGCAGCGGCGGAGGCATACGCAGGGCTGCGACGGCAACTGGCGTGCTGACGGTACCGGCGTCACCGCAAGTACGGATAGGACCGCTGCCGGGGGCGGCAGAGGCGGCTGCACCGTCGCCACCGCCGTTGCGGCAGCAGCAGGGTTTGGCCCCCGGCAGCCAGTTGGAGCAGTTCTGGGCCAATCGCGAAGCGACGCTGTCCGGCGAGCCGGCGGCAGCGGCAGCGGCAGTGGCTCCCGGTGCCAACGGCGTGTACGACACACCACAGCCGCGCGGTGGCCGCGGCGACCGTACCGGCGCCGGCGACTCGGATGCCGTGCTTCATGCCAGTGGACCTGGCGCCATGGGTGGCGAGGCCGTAGCCGCCGCCGCCGCCTCGGCCCCCGGCATCACACCGGTTCCGTTGGTCTCCTCCGGGGACTCTTTTGGCTTTGGCTTCAATGCCGTACACGGTTCCGGAGCTATGTCACCTCGGTCTCGAGCCCAGCGAGGTCCGCAGGTACCGGTGTTGGGTTTGGGCACCAACGCAGTGGCACCAGGCAGCCCGTCGCTGGGCCGGAGCTTTCTGTCACGCGTCAATGGCTCGACGGCAGGCGGCACCGGCGGCGGCAGCCACGACGGCGTGGCTTGGGTTTGGGGACGTCCCGTCAACCCTGACGGCAGCGATATGGTCGTACTGTCAGCGGTGGCGGCGCCTCCGCCGCAGAGGCCACAGTCAGCAGCGGCGGCGCCGCTGGTGCCGGACGTACGCCAGCATCAGCAAGCACGTCGACAAACGACGTCGCCGCCGCGACCACGGCCGTACGAGGAGGGGGCTGCCGCAATGCGTGTCTCCTACGGCGGCGGCGGTGCCGCCGCCGCCGCCGTCGGTTCCCCTGGGTCCTATAGACATGCAGTACAGCCGCCAACTGTGTCACCGGCGCCTCAGTCGCCGCTGCTGTACCAGCAGCCTGGAACGGGGTGGGTGCCGCTTCCTGACGGCAGCGGCATGGCCTGGCTAGCGATGCCGGTGCCAGTCACCGGTCTTCACCCATACCGTACGGCAGGAGCAGCAGCTCCATCGCAGCGGTCCTACTCTCCGTTCCAGGGGCAGCAGCCGCAGCGGCCTCACACAGCGGCGGCGGCGACGACGACGACGGCGGCGGTAGCGACCCATGGTTTTGTTCCGCCTGGGTACCGTGGCCAGGACGCGCTAGCCAGTCCTGTTGTCCCCCGCGGCGCCGCCGGCGTCACATTTGACGCCGCCGCTATGGGCGGCGGCGGCGGTGGTATGTCGGCGGCTGCTACTGCCGCTGACAGCCAACGGCAGGGGGCCTTTGTGAGCATGCTGCATCGTGAGGGGTTGGCAGCCGGGCGAGTGAGTCTGCTGTGCGGCCTCTGGTCGCCTCTGGGCGGGTGGATCGCAAAGCATCACCCCCAGCATCATTATCTGCCGTGCCTGTTCCTCATGTGTAGTGTCTTTTGCCTTCCAGAGTCCCGTCAAAAGACAGGAGTCGTAATCGTAATCGTATTAGTAGATGGTAATGGTAATGGTAATGGCGCGCATGCGGGATCTGGCTGGTCCTCGTACAAAAAATCGCTTAATGATATGGATGATTGAGAGGCAGAGGCGAAAGGGCGAATCAGGGAATGGAAAGGGGGAGGGTACCACTCCGGTCTCGTACACGTAGCTTTTACACCTTCCCACGTCTGCTCCTCACCTCCCGACTTCGGGTGCCCGCCTGCATTTCCCGCCCGCCTCCGCATCACTACTACTCCTTCTACTACTTCTAATAGTAATAATAGTAATAATACTCATAATAATACAGACATAATAATCAATATTAATGCTGCTGCTGCTGATGAAGATGGTGATGATGGCAACACTCCCTTTTTCTGACACATACACAGGACAATTACGACTACTTATTTACCAAGCAGCGGCTGAGGCAGAAGCAGGACCAGCAGCAGCAGCAGCAGCGGCGGCGACGGCGCGGCAGCCCTACGAGCCCTGGCGGTGGCAGGGGCGGCTGCGGCGGTGGGCCCGGCGGCGCCTCCCGGAAGCCCCATGGGTAAGTTTCCCCATATAAAAAACCCCAGTCCACAACCTCCCACCTCACTCCCGACTTACTCACCAGTTCGCATGCGCATGCGCGTGATGTGCAACCGGTGTGTAACCGCCCGACTAATAACACACACATATAGTATGTATATATGTATATATATATGTATATACATATATATGTATATATATATTCATTAAACACACATACATAGTATGTAGTGTGTTTGTTATCATTATTATCATCTCCTCCGTGGGGTGCGCGTGCTCTGCTCTGCTGCTGCCAGGTCAGCGGTCGGCGTGTCGGGAGGGTTCAAGAAGTCCTTTGGAGTTCGTTCGGGGCTGAAGAGGCGGCAGCCCGCCACCAGCACCGCCACCGCCACCGCCACCGCCACATCCACACCCTTCATGCGGTCTCGGCGCGAAACCCCGAGGACTGGACGCACGCGCACGCCCATCCGCTCCTCACCACCACGACCCTTCCGGCCGCGCCCTCAGTCCCCTTCCAGGTACGCAAGGTGGCATCCATGGAATTGTTGTAAAACGCATTATTGATACAATAACTGCAATAACTCTTCGTAAGACCAACCCAGTTCCTCGGCTATCACCGAATGTAAAAGGAAAAATATCGGTGGCAACTGAAACTGCAGCTGAGTTAATGTATGTGTACTTAGGGTTTCCTTCTGGCCGGCATGTGATGTAGATTGGGACTGGGGCAGGGCCTGCATGTAAAATGCCGGCTCTTTTCATCACTGCCGGCTCTGAACGTGCTGCAGAGCGCTCGCTACCGTTTGGAATCTTCTCCCAGCCTGCATGCTTGCGCTTTTGCTTTCCAGGTCCTCCTCGTCGCCGCCACACGTCGCAACGCCGACTCGTCACTACGCTCGCAGCCGCGGCGGCGGCGGCGGCGGCGCCTCACCCACCAAATCGCGCTCCGCTGGCCGTACCTTCGCTAAGCGAGTCGATGTTGGCGGCTACGGCGGATACAAGGTGATGGGGGATAGCGGAGGCGGTGGCGGCAGTGCCCGGAAACTCATAACGCCAGGACGGGCGGCTGGCGGCGGTGCGAAGGTGTTCAGGAAGGGCAGGCGCGTTCGAGCGAAACGGACCCGTGGGTCCTCTGGTGAGTAGGGCGAAGAACCGGGCGAAGAACCGGGCGAAAAACCGGGAACGATACGGGTGCCAATGCCGGCAGGCGGCTACCTAAGAAACTGCAGGAACAGAGAGCCGCTCTCACGGGTTGTACTGGGCGGGCCTAATCAAGGACCGATATCCTCTCTTCCAATCTCTCGTCCTATCTCTCGTCCTACCTCTCGTCCTACCTCTCGTCCTATCTCTCGTCCTACCTCTCGTCCTATCTCTCGTCCTACCTCTCGTCCTATCTCTCGTCCTATCTCTCGTCCTACCTCTCGTCCTATTTCTCGTCCTACCTCTCGTCCTATCTCTCGTCCTATCTCTCGTCCTACCTCTCGTCCTATCTCTCGTCCTACCTCTCGTCCTACCTCTCGTCCCATCTCTCGTCCTATCTCTCGTCCCATCTGTCGTCCTATCTCTCGTCCTACCTCTCGTCCTATCTCTCGTCCTATCTCTCGTCCTATCTCTCTTCCAGTGTTCCCGGTCCCTCCTGAACTCCACTGCGCCCATGACGCTCATCCATCCGCCTCCACCATACCACCCGTCACCCTCATGGTTGCGCTCGCTTCCTCCTGGGCACGTTGCTGGGCCGCCGGGGTGTCGGTGTTGCTGCCTGTTGCGCGACGGCATCCGGGATCCAACAACGGCAGCAACAGCAACTGCCAAGCGCGTCCCAGGCCACGGCCCGTTGGGCGCCGCCGCGCCCCAGGCGCTCTTGGCGCTGGAGCAGTCGCTGATGCAAATGGCTGCGGATGTGACGGCGCTGGAAGCCGCCGCCGATGCGTCCAAGGCCGCCGTCGCGGCTGCGGCGGAGCGTGAGGCGGCGGAGCGCGCTTCGGCGGTGCACGCCGGACGTGAAGCGGCGCTGGCGGCGATACGCGCCGCCGCCGCGGCGGAGGCGGCGGAGCGCGCGGCTGCGCAAGCGGTGGACCGCGCCGTGGTGGCGGAGCGACGCGCGAAGGACGCCGTACGGCGATTCAAGGGCGCGGCAAAGCGATCGGCGTCGCCGTCACCACGGGCGGGAGTGCCAACATCGGGCGTTTCGGAGGAGCCCAAGGCAGGCGTGGCGACACAGACGGCAGCGGCGCCACCTTCGCCTCCACTGCTGGTACAACTGCAGCCACACTCATCGGTGCGGCCGTACGAGGGCGCGAAACGGGCCAGCGGGGTCAACGTCAACACCATCATCCAGCAGCTTGATCGCTGGTGCGGATTGTGCGACCATGCGCTGCTACAGCCGGAATCATCGAGGCAGCTGCAGCCTCGCCACCACAATCAGCCTCACCACCATCAGCAGCCGCAGCCGCAGCCGCAGCAGCCGTATCAGGTGCCGTCAACCACACAAACCACCCAACAGGCCACCACGTCACGTCCGCAGTCGCAGACGCAGCTGCACCCCCAGGCGCAGGAGCCCTTTGCCGCCGCTGCCGCTGCTACTACTGCTGCTGGCCCACACGCGTCGCCGGCAACACCCAGGATCCAGCTGCCTCTCCCGCACCCGAAGCAGCAGCTGGCGCAGCAGCAAGAGGGGTGTCGAGGTCTGCATGCAAAGCCGCCACAATTACCGTCCTACGCGCCTTGCAGATCGCCGCGGCGGGGGTGATGTGCTTCCGATGCACAACTCAACATGCCAAGTAGCTCTCAATTTCATCACGCGGTGGGAAAAGGGCAAAAGGAGGGCTGGAGTTAACACGACGGTGCTCTGGACAGGCAATACAGCGAACAGTGAGCAGGGTTTTGTGTGTGTGTGTGGGCGGGGGGGGGACAAATATGCGGTGGTGGTCGCGCGCGCGTTGCCAATGGCTGGCCGCCGCTGGGGGCCTTGGTGGTTATGTGGCGACGGTATATTCCCGGTATATATTGTGTTGGCAATGACCGCATATACCTGTGGACGGTAACAGCAGTAGTAGGACCCTGCGGGTGTCCGGCGCTTTGCTGGTCTTAACATATTGTCCTATGCGCACGTGTCATGGCGCACAGGGTTTTTGTGCCCACCTTGGACGGGCTCCGCCTGGTCAGGGCACACCTGTGCGCACACCCGTACACGTCAGACAGAGAGGCGCTCTCTGTGTGTGGCACAGTTGTCCACCTCTGTGTGTGGAATGGCCCATACCTTCATACATTACATTTGAGGCAGGGTGTGCTGGTGTGTGTGTGTGTGTAGCTTTGGGGCTCAACCCCTCAAAGCCATCGTTACCGCAATTCCTTTGCGTCTGGGCCGTGGTGTTATGTGTTGGCAGCAGCGGCTGTATAATAGTAGGTCATAATAACTGCTATAGCGCGGTAATGGTAGTCCTTGTATTTGGGGACGTGCAAAGTGGCAACTCCGGAGGAAACTCCATGAGCACAGAAAAATGGATGTGTTTTAGAGACATTACATCAGGAGAAGGGGAGCGGGTGGGAGGTGGCGTGGAGGATGCTTCGGCGGTGGGTGTGTAGAAGATAGGTTGGCGGGGGCGTGTACCGCATACACTTGATTGGTTACAACTCCTACCTACACCTACACCTACACCTACACCTCCCATCTCCAGCAGCAACAGCGGGAGAGAATTCATAGCCATACCTTTAGCCATGCGTTTAGACATACCATTAGCAACATATACGATACACGTGCTATGACTAAGCTGCTCGCCGAAATGCGTTTGATATGAAGCTTTTGGGTAGCATCGACGTTCGTTCGTTATTACGCGTGCGTCCAACAAAAAGTAAATGTGTCAGTATGCGTCTGTATGTATGCGTGTGCCTTCACTGAAGCTACGTCTATCTACGTCTAACCCGAAAAGGGGAGGGGGTGATGTAACAAACTCTGCGGACGGCCTAGAACTATAGAGATGGGGGCTCGCAGCAGGTGCGCCCGCATTTAGTTACTACAAGTTCGGCGTTGCTGACTGGTTTCAACGTGGTTGCCTGCTTTCGTGGAGTTCTTGTGTTGAACACATGTCGGGCGAAATCGTCGTACTTTACAGAGATAAAGCAGCATCCCTGTAGAGATGGACTGAAGCTAAGTGAGAAACCACCGATACGCTTGGAGAGGGAGGGGGTCAGGGTGGAGATGGCGCCGATGGCGGCAGCTTTGTCGTACTGACGTGTACAGGCTGCACTGCCTCCTTGCTTTTTCCAGAGCCGCGAAACCAAACTACCAGCATCTGCAATCCGTGGCATTGACCAAAAAAAGGACCACGCATGCCTGCGATGCTCTATCCTATCATCTACCCTCGTCGCCGCTGCGGGGCAATGCGGTTAGCAAATAGAGCTGGCCCAAAGCACTAGCAGCTAGGATAACGATGGCTCCGTGTTTGCCGTACAAACAGTAGGGTGATTACCACTTGTGTACGGCATTACATACCTCCGTCTCCTTGCGGCCACTTGGTTACCTAACTCAACATCCCGCCCATATCTCGCCGGGGGACTGCAGACACGGTTTCGTGGTGGGCAGGCTGGGTGTCTTGGAGTGAGAGGGGGTTGGCAACACGGCTTCTTGGCGGGCGGGTTGCGCCTTCACGGGGTATTGAAGTGTAAGGAGATTAGAGCGCCCAGACAAGCGTTAAATTACACGCGGGCGCCCAGACACGGTTTTCTTGTTACCAGTAAGTGATTTTGCGGAGTATCTTAGCATCCTACGGTCCTTCCTACGATAGCTCCGCAAAATCACTCTCGGAAGTCGAAGACATGGCCGGAGGAGGAAATTGCGCACAACAAGCTGTACCACCCTGTAACAACAGCAACAACACCAAGCAACACAACGTACTGCACTGGCGCGTACATGAACACCAAGCACACGAAAAGCCAGGAGAGGTCCTCATGAGCCTGCTGGCCCGTACGGCTGCACTGACGGTGAGGCTGACAAAGGCGACCGGGCGGCAGCTGCAACTGCCTTTACCACCACCACCGGCACCACCACCGTAGTACGGTACGGGAGGTCATTTTTGTGGCGCTGTAAGTGTTTGATGGCATCGAGCAGGCGGTAACGCATGCACTTCCACAACGAGCATACCCACAACTGCCGCAACACCCCCGGGGAGTGCCCCATGGGTTGCTCCGCTTTCTGCTGTCGCACCGCAACGGCCACCCCAGCCGCTGCCTTTCGGCGCTGCCCCTGTCGTGGCGGCGTTCAACACCGCCAGCATGGCGCCATAACGGATCACCTCCGGATCCGCGAACCCTCAACCCCGGCCCAGCCCAATTGCCAATAATGCAACACCGCAACCCAGCACTGATGATCACAGAGCTCACAGCCTTGGGTTCCCGAGGGCACCCGTCCGTCCCCCTCGTCACGCTACCGCAAGAGAGAACACGCGCTCTAGACACAAACAAACTGCGAGCCCACAAACCTGCTACCTGCTTCTGCCGTCTTCACCATGCTGCAATAAACATGCGGGTATAACGGCACACAGCCACAGGTGGCGGCGGCGGTGGCTCATCCTTGCAGTATCATTCAATAACATCATAACGTATGGTAACCATCACAGCCAACGGATTGGTCAACAAAATCCCCAATCAATAGCAAGTGGCCTATAAGTACACAGTTCCGCGCACGTACATACGTACATATGTACACACACACGCACACGGTGCAGCTCCGGGTTTGCCATTTTTCCTCCTCACCAATTCCTTCTCGCTGGCAGATATGTTCGCCTAAACACTAAAACACACACACACACACACACACGAGTGTTCGCACTCGCACACGCGCTCGCATTCCTGTCGTCCTCAAGTCTTTTCCATTCCGCTGTCATCGCTGCCATTATCATCAGCGCCCACACCTCGTCGCTCATTTCGGTGCCCACATCCCAGCCGCCATCATCGTCATCAAGATCATGATCATGATGATCATGATCATCATCCAGCAACATCAAAATGCTCTCGTAATTTCGTAACGCTCACAACTTATCTAAGGGTCGCATCTCCTCTCACCCCCCCTCGGAGGGTGGTGGGATCAGCCTTGGGGCCCCACGTGCTTTCCTTTCCAAACCGCCGTACGGCCCTCCCGCAGCGCTGCCGTAAATGCGTCGTACTTGGCCTTGTAGGCGGGTAGCGGGTTGGAGTCGTCATCGTAACCGTCTGCCTCGCAATCCCAGCCGCACCTGAAGGGGGGGCCCCGCGCGCGTAAGGGACCCCCGCACATGTCCATATCTCACATGTACATATCATCAACACAGGTACATACAGCACGTGTGTATGTGCACGCATGTATATGCATGTATATGCATGTATGTATGCATGCATACATCAGATCCCGGGATCGAGACCGGTCAAGGTCGAAAAATCCTTCCGATGGTGGAGAAGATAGGAGTGCCCCTAGTCGATGGACGGTGGTGACCTGGGATAAAGTAGATTTGTGAGCTGACCAGGAATGGAGTTGAGCCTCTGCCGTTGATCCGGCAGATTCCGTTGGATGCTGGTGGTGGGTGCGGAACCTGAGCGATCCACTGAGAAGTCGGCTAGGGTGACTGGATGAGAGTGCCCCGAATACCGGGGAAAGCAGGGTCTGCCGGGTAGCGACCACAGGGTGAAGATATGACCTCCCTGTCCCACACATCATACATACACACATACATACATACGTACATACATACATGCACTGCTTTCCTCCATCTGCTCCTCCTCCCCCCCCTCATTTTCTCCCGATAAAGCACAACCGCACAAAACCGTACAAGCACAGCCGTACCTGACACACTCGGCGTCCCAGTCCTCCCCGAGCCACCAGGGGCACCCACACCGCAGACACGGCATGCGGGGCCAATACACACCACGACCACGAGGTCCAAACTGCTTGCGCATGCCCGGCTTGGCATACTTGCCTGAACAGGCAGTAGACAAACAGACAGGCAGCGATGGCAGAAAACGTAACCAGGAGCAGGGGGATGAGGGGGAGCAGGGGGAGCATGAGGATGAGGGGAGGAAGCGCCAGGGACGGACAATACTGTGTTCGGTGCTGCCGGACTCAACTGGGCAACGTGCCGAGTTATAGCCCGAGAGGTGCTGACATCAAAAGACCTTTTGTGGGGTTGATGAAGATGAAGAAAATCTTTCGGGGTACGAATTGCTATTTTGGACTTTAATGAATTCGGGAAGCCCTTTTAAAGGTGCAAAAGGTGCAAAAGGCGCATCAAGTGTCTCTATGTCGGGTGGGGTATTGCGGCGGCGGCGGTGTCCGCTGGGTAGTTGTGATTTTTGCGCTCTGGCCCGCCCGGCTAACATTCGTTCGTAAATGCTCTTTAAGAGACCCCAAAATCTCTTTACAACAGGAGTCGTTATAATAGCAGTACGAGTAGCAGTAGTAGTCCTATTAACAATCCAGCCCTCAATCTCACCGGTCGGAGGGTCATAGATACTAATCGCTTTGTCCGCTTGTGGGTGCAGCGTTTGTGGGTGATCCGAAGGGGCAATAGCAGTAGCAGTGACACTTGTCGTAGTAGCAGCAGTTACAGGCAAAAAGCCTGGAGACAGCGTCGATGGCGACGTTTCTATGGATTGAGAGGTTATAGCCGCTGACGCGGCTGATGGTGTTCCCACCGGCAGCAGCGGCGGCGGCGGCAGCGGCGGCGGCGCCGGCGCCACATCCCTAAGGGCCGCCGCCAGCTTGCCGACCGCTGCTGCGCCCTTGAGTGATTTGACCATCTGCGTAAAGATACACACATACATCGGAGGCACGTCTCCGAAAAAGCAAGGCGCAAGGCAACCAACTTCCTCCCCATGCCCCTTGAATAAAAACAGTTCTTTTTTCCCGAGGTTCCATGTGCCGTACTGGCGCCGTACCTTCATGTCAGCATACACCTGCAGCGTCGGCGCCGCCGCCACCCGCAAGGCCTCCGCCAGCGCTCGGTTCGCCGCCGAGGCGCCGGGATCCGCAAACAATACCCGTACGGAACCGCCGTACGACGCACACGCCGCGGCGACGTCGACACGCAGCGTCGCCTGTTCCTGCTCCGAGAGCTCTAGAAGCTCCAAGCCGGCGGCGCCGCCGTCCTGGGTGCTGTACGGCGCTGATGACGGATGCTGTATGGCGCTCCGGCATGCCGGCGGCGGTGTAGCGAGGGTGCTGGTGGCGGCTGCGCCGCCGCTAGCTGAGGACGACGGTACTGAGGCCGTGGGGGTGGACGGGTAGTTGGGCGGCGGTGCACTCAGCCAGGCCACCACCACTAGGCAGCTTCCTGAGTCCCGAGCTTCCTGAGGAGGGGGACAAGGAGCAGGGGGAGGCAGGGGGAGGCAGGGGGAGGCAGGGGGAATGCGGTAGCGGCGACCAAGCGGCGCGGCGCGGGCGGGGCAGTGGCGTCTCTTCCCGCCTCACTGGAACAGGGGGGGGCCACCCACAACCAAGGCCCTTCAGCGGCATCAAGGCATACATGCCGTCAGATAAAGTATCCCCCCTCCCTCCCTCACCCCCCAGAACACACACAGACATGTGTGCTACTTTCCGCCAGCTCTGATACCTACATCTATATCGCCCAGGTTACTCACACACACACACACACACACACACCCCAACACACACACACACACACCCCACAAACGCACACACACACACCAAAACACACACACACACACACACCAACACACACACACACCCCAACACACACACACACACACCAAAACACACACACACACACCAACACACACACACACACACACACACACACACACACACACACCAAAACACACACACACACCAAAACACACACACACACACACCAAAACACACACACACACCAAAACAAACACACACACACACCAACACACCCACCCACCACCATAAACACACACACACACACCAACACACACACACACACCAGCAGGTGAGCCTTCAGGTCAGCCGCCCCCCTCCGGAGCTCCACCAGCCGGGGGGGAGGAGGGGACGGAGGGGGCAGCGACCGCTGCTGCTGCTGCTGCGAGTTGCTATGGCTGTGGTGATGGCTGTTGCGGTCTGGGGAACAATCAGATTTCGATGTGGATGTCGCCAATGCCACCGCCGCCGCCGCCGCCGCCGTCGGAGCCGCCGCCGCCGCAGCCCCAGTTGATGTCGACGTCGGCTTCGACGGCTGCGTGGCGGGGTCGAACTGGTTCGTCTGGCGCCGCCGCCGCAGCGCGGTTGCAGCGGATGGTGCAGCAGACGTTTCGGTGGCGGCGGCGGTGGAGGTGGCGGCGGGCGGTGCTGCAGCCGCGTCCGGGGCCCAAGTTGCCTGGCGGCGTAGGAGCTCCGACCTGGGTGGGGGCGTGTGGGAGAGGAGGGGAAAGGCACCAATGACCAAAAACGTGAAAAACGAGAAACATGTCCAATGATTCTAAAATATTATCACATTCGCCAAGTCAAGTTAAGTTCAGATCCGATAATCAATTTAAATCCCGGAACAACCCTACAACCCGTCGGCTCAGATCCGATAATCATCCTGTCCAACAGAACAGCTACGACCACTCTACCCGACGCTACTTGCACCGCACTACACTGCCCTACCCTACCCTACTCTACCCTGTCTTACCCTTCACTACAGTTTATTACACTAAAGTACACTAAAGTACCCTACCCTACCCTACCCTACACGTGTGCACAAGACACCCCTAGTGCAACCTACACCCCAGCACACCACCACCCTCCCTCCCTCCCTCCCTTTCTCGGTACCTGAGGTCCGCCAGTGCCGAGGGACCTGCAAAGTAGGCCTCGTACTGCAGTCCCGAGCCCGGCGGTACGTGCAGTGTGAGTGCGGGCCACTTGGAGCCGTCACGCAAGGTGGGTCGGGCGTCAGAGCGGCGGGAGCTGGGCAGCACCATGAGCCGGCAACCCCCCACTGCGAGAGCTTCGTTAGCCTTCGGGGGGTGCGGGGGGGGGGGCGGCCCAGGGGACGGCGCAGGGGGGGGAGAGGGAGAGGGAAAAAGAGGGATGTCAGGGATAACCGAAAGTGAAGGAAAACAGCTGGGGCCGACGCGGGGGAAGTCCCGGGGGGTGCCGAGGTAAAGAAGGGAAAACAACTGCCGACGTTTGAAGGGGGGAAAGGACGACAGGAAGGTGTATGTGTGTATGTATGCTACTGCAAGGTGATGAAAGGGGGGAGGTGTTAAGAGGGAGGCGGCGGGTGGCATGTAAGGCAAGTCCACACATCCCCCAACCTGCGACGCCGTCACGTCCAGTTGTACGAACACCAGCTGCGGATGCCGTACCGCCAGCGCCGCCAGCCCCGCCTCCGCTTCCCGGCTGGCGGCGGCCCAGGGCGCGTGCCACAACACCACCTGCGAGAGGTGGCCGTCAAGGGAGGGAGGGAGAGGGGAGGGAAACGGGGAGGGAGGGAGGGAGGGAAGACGAACCACGAACGTGTGAGGGAGAGAGGGAGAGAGGGAGATAGAGAGAGAGTGGGAGAGATGGGATTTCCATATCCCTACCCCCCCTTCCAGCCCCCTCCCTGCACTCCCAGCTCACCACCGCCGGCTGCTCCGTCTCATCCAACAGCCGTTGAAGCTCCGCAGCGCCCTCAGTCAAGTCCTCCAACACCACCCCCGGCTCCCAGCGACCCACGGGTCCGTCATCTCCAATCTCCTCCTCCTCTTCAAAACCCTCCTCCTCGTCCTCCTCCCCGTCTTGTTCCTCCTCATCTTCCCCCTCTTCCTCCTCCTCCTCTTCATCGCCTCCGGCATCCATGATGTCGCGGATGTCCGGCCAGGGCAGGAAGGGGTCCAGTGAGCTGGGAGGCCGCTGCGGCCCGCCGCGACAACCGCCGCCGCCGGCCCCGCAGCTGGCGGCCGTAGTAGCTACAGCTGCAGCTGCTGCAGCTACAGCCGCCACCTTCCTGATCTCTTCCTCCTCCTCCGGCGTGGCAAGAGATGCCTCCAGCTCCGCCACCAGCTGGTCTCGGAGCATGTCTATTCCGATGAACACCAGCTCCTGCCGCCTGGAAGGGGGGGGGAGTAGCGAGCGGGTCGCGGTGATGCGGATTGGGACGATGCGGGACAAGTCAAGTCATGTGAGGATGTGTGGGCTGGGGGCGCGGGGCTTAGGGCTGCCGACACGTCTTGACATGAGCGTATGTTGACCCAGGCCAGGTACGGCCACATCACACCACACTACATCACACCACATCACACCACACCACATCACACCACATCACATCACATCACACACCACATCACGAGCTCATTATCACCTGCATTGGTTTTCAACATTCATAGTTCAATATGATTGAGCAGTCTTTTTAATTTTTTTCTACCGCTTTCAATCTTGAGTAAAAGAGGCCCCGGCAACCCCCCTTTTACCACCACCACCCCCGAGGGAAGTTGGGAGGACACGCCGGCGCTACCCAGGGGCACGTGTACTCGCCGGCAGGGGCGGCAGGGCCTAATGAATACCCCAAGGGATATTTCTGCTATCCGGGCTATTTGGGCTATTTGAGGTGTCTGCAAAGACAGTCATACGTGTGCTAAGGGACATGTATGTGCTAAAAAGCACGGCACATGACACATGCCTTGGGGTGCATGCATGCATACATACATACATTACATACAGCATGCGCATTCGCGCCGTACACAATACACACGCATACGTACCTGTCACCGATTTCCGGAAGGAAGTCCTTCTCGATGTCGGCCACCTTGGCAGGCTCAGAAGGCCAGGCCTCCCTGTACGGCAAACCACAGCAAGTACGACGTGTACGGCAGTCCGTAAGCACCGCACAAACCCGGCGGGACAGATGCGCCATGTGCGAGAACCCCTAAGCCATGTATCTAGTAGATAGAAGATAGAAAGGTTAAGAAAATAAAGAAAAAGAGAGCGAGCGAAAGAGAGAGTGAGAGATGCGGACTAGCCGATGGCAGTCGAGTGTCGCCATGTCGCGGTGCCCTCGTGCGTGAATATACTCGTGTGGTTCATCAGGTATACTCCTAGCTCTGCACGACTTGCTGGGATATGCCGCATAGTAGCATAGCGTGGGGTCTCCACTGCGGTCGTGTGGTCGAGATGACGCGCATGCGGAAGCCACACCATGCCGCCACCACCACCACCACACAACAACAACACAACCCGAAGAGAGTAAACACAGCCAGGTCAGGAGCTTTAAGTACCTTGCTTTTTGTGTATACCCATGACAAGTGCTACGTAACGCCTACTAAGCTTAATCAAAAATATGTTTTATAGAAATCAAGACCTTTACCAACAAAAGGCCAGGGGTCAGGAAATTTGCCATCGCAGACTCCGCCGTCGTCGCGCTGCAAAATGTGCCGCGGCGCGGCGGATCACCTCAGCAGCGGCGGTGGCGGTGACGGTGGCGGCGGCGGCAGTGGCGGCGGCGGAGCAGATCTCACCTGGGCAGTACGTCGTACCACGGCCCGCCGGTCCCAAACCTCATCAGGTTGCCGGCGCTACTCCACTCGCCAACGTGATCGTCGCGGCCAGCCAGCCAGGCAAAGCCCTTGGACCGAAGAACTTGGCCAAATGCCGCCGTACGGGCAGCGCCCTTGGCCGCCGCCGCAGCGCCCTTGGCCGCCGCCGCAGCGGCCGGATCCGCGGCCGCCGCCGTCGCGGCGGCAGCGGGAGGGGTGCCGGCGGCGGTGACGAGGTTGCCACTACGACCAGCCTGAGCGGCCGGTTGCGGCTGTGCATTAGGTGTGAGGGCCGT